GGTGAAGTATTCATTGCGGTTGACCGCCGCGGTGATGTTATTCACTGCGGTTGACGACCGCGGTGAAGCCCAAACATGTGTAGATTGGAAATATTTTTTATAACGTATGTATTTTGAGAATTTTTTTTAATATCGTGTGTATTTTTGGATTTTTTCCAAGGGGGAAACCATAGTGGATCACCTTTAACCAAAAGCGAAACAACCTTGAACCAAGGTGAATCGCGGCAGACAACAACGAACCATATTCATATATCGAAAATAAATATAGCGATCTTATGTGCTTTTTCTGGGTGAGTCGTAATCAGTGTTGATTCGAGGTTGGTTTGGTTAAGTGTGCGGCGATCCATGTTGAATCGAGACTGGTTCGTTTGAGCCGGTCGTGATTCGAGAGTAAATCGCTCCTCTTTCCAGCGAACCACCACACAGATCGCTGGACACTGAAAGCATATCACGTCAAACTTTAGTAATTTAGCAAAAAATTTGTTGAGTGTAGTGCTGTGAGAATTTTTTATAAAACCTTGTAGTTTGGAAAATTTTCCGCCTTGTGTCGATGGTATACGGTTACATGTGCGGAGCTACTTAGAGACTAGGGTAGGCCTCGGCCTCTAGGACCGTAAGGATATTTAGATAACATTTGGATAAGTAGTGCTTATCTATACATTGTATCATGCAATAGTCATGTAGTCTACTGGTAGCTAAGCTAAATCAGTAATCTAAAGTAAACAAGTTTGATCCATAACAACCTCATTTTTGCTTTAACTACTTTTTGGACTTTATTATCTTAATTCTCCTCCACAAGGTCATGGACCAAAGAAAACGGAAACCCACTCCTTTTCATTCTTTTTGTTACTTTTAAATCCAAGTACAAATGAAAAAATCAACATTTATTTAGTTCACATGGAATTTTTAGCTCTTTATAGAAACTATATGATTTTTTTTACCTATGTCGGAATCAAGAAAAAGATGATTGTGAAAATAATTTTATTTTGTTGACAGGTTGATTTGTCTTCTTCTAACTTTCCAAATTTCCAAAACTACATGTGATCGTGCATATTTTCAGCTATAAAGATAGTAAATAATAGATTGCGAAACAAAATAAATGATAATTTTTTTTGTTAATGATTTAGTTATTTATATTGAAAGAAAGATAGCTACCTTTTTTAATTTAAATGCTATTTTGAAAGATTTCAATGATCTCAAAGAATGTTGTATACTTTAAAAATAATTATTTTATTTTTATTTATATTTATCTATTTTCAGCCCTGTCGATCTCGAAATCCTAGATCCGTCCTGTACGGCCAATATGCTTTTCCACTGTGGCCATGGACTATGGTGGTATTGACATATTGTATATAAATATGGACTATGGTGGTCCGTTTCTTATTTTCTCCCTATTTCTGTCAGGTGACTGTTTGTTGGGACTTGAGACAGAGAGACTAACCCTAACACCGGAAAAGTGGTCATGTGAAAAGAAAGGCAGCGGCCGGCCGTCCGGGCAACGACGACAGCGACAATGACAGACGAAAGGGGTGTTGAACGGTGGCGTACGCATGCAAGAAAAGAAGTAGAGCAACCTGCATTCATCCAAACCGCAAATGACTATCTAAAGGTTTACAATGTGCATTGATGTACCGTTCTCTCGACTGGATGTGGCATCTCCGGGGAGAAAATGAGTCCACCATGTTAAGTAGACAAAATGCCTTCTCAACTTCATCGCCGGCTAACTAACAGTTTTGAATGGAGAGGCTTAAACGTAACTCATGAGGTCTTTTTTAGTGGGATATTTTGTTTAATCAAATAGATCTATACAGAGAATTTATTCAATGCAATAGCTAGGGAGTCCTCCAAGTAACCAACTAAAATACAGCAAATTTATTTATTTTTAATTAAATTTATGAAATAGGCAAATGTCTCCAAAATAAAATAAGTTTATCCGATGTAACAGTCAGTCTTCCAAAAAGTCATGTGACCTAACCTTATAAATCAACTAAATGAGTTTTTCTAATAAAAAAGATCTTCATCAATAATTTTGGATTTTCAGTGGTGTATTATGGCTTATAAACTGAGTAGTTTACATGACTTTGTGGGAATACAATGATTATTCTTGAAAGTGATGTGCAAACTGTTATTTCAAAACATAAAAACAATCAATGGTCTAGTTACGTGCGATGCAAATTGATTGTAGGAATCCTCCAATAGAGTTTTGTGAACTTTTATTCATTTCAAATTTTCTGCAACGAGAGTGAAAGTAGAAAGAATATTTTTGTCTTTACAATTAATTATTTATCACATATAAAAAATATCAATATGAGAATTCGAACCCAGATCTCTTAAAAAAAGACAACAATCACAACCAATTACACTAAACAAATTTGTTGTATCTTTTCGTGTACTAAACATACACAAAGTTAAACTCTGCAAATTGGAGAAATTTTCCACCATGATTAGCAAACCCACTAAGTCTACCGTATGTATTTTATGGTGCTTGATACTTTAGTTTTCATATTAGAGTTTCATGTAATTATCTCAATTTTAAATTTTTTGCTCTCACCTTCATTTTTTGCTAAAGGTAAATTGGTAATTGGCTACCATAGAAAAAACTAATTATGTTACAGCGTGTTGTGTCCTTGAAATTTTCAATTGAAATTTAAATTTAGTGCTTTTTTATCTCTGTTCTTATCTCTTTGAATTTCCTCCGAAATTCCCTCCATCGTGCAATAGTTTGCGCCCCTTTCACTTTCCAATACAAGGTTTCCTTTGAAAATCAATCTTTTGGTATCTTTTGGCACTACGATTTTATTATTGGGGATTTAAGCTAGGCAAGTAGAAGATTTCAACTCCGATATCAATCCATGATGAATAGAATGGAGTTCAATAAATGGAGTTGTAGAAGGAGAATTAGAGATTGAATTTTTGATTGAAACATATGCCTCTTAAGATAAAAATTTGGTTGTACAACGGAGAGTGGTGACTATTGGACCTTTAGGTTTATGGTTTTGGCATCTAGGTCGATTCTTTATTCAACCTACAGTAACTGATAGATAAGGAGTGTCTAATTTTGTGCTTTATTACTTCGATCAAGTCTATTAGCATATTGGAGGTAACCCTAATTTTGTCGTTTGCTCTCAAGTTTTATTGGTCCCCTCTTAACTGAGTTGTTAGTATATAGTTGACTTGAATCAACAACTCTCCATTTCTTTTTGATTAGTGACATATTGTTCCTAAAAGAAGAGCATTGAACCCTTTATGTAGGATTGTGAGGTTTAAGATTGAGTTTCAAGCTATCTATGGGTCGTGTGGGAATTCCCGTGAGCTTTTGTACTCTATCTTTCTTGACAATCAACTAACCAATAGCATTTTAATTGGGGCTTAATTATCGATCATTATAAAAATGAAATCAATGATACATTTTTATATTTTATATTCTTATTTCTCCGAAAGTTCGACCTATATATTTTTTCTTTATGTATCATCTCGATCGAAGAATTGTCAATAAAATTAAACGGGTTTATAGACTTAAATGTAACATAATAAATACAAATAATGAAATATGAACATTCCAGCCAACGAGCCGGGTTATAAGCTAGTATAAGATAATATAATACTTTTGTAAGGAAACATATTTAATGTTGTAAGTGAATAACCAAACATTATTGGCTAATAGACGCACTAAAGATTTTATTAACATAAAAGTGAGTAATAAATGAAAGTCTTTCTCTGGCAGATTTTCCACCGCATTCTTCCTCCTACGGAAGCTCTGGTTGAGAAGGAGGTTTAAGTGCTACCTAAATGTCCAGTATGCTTTGCAAATTTGGAGACAATGGAACACCTCTTTCTAGAGTGCCAAATCGCGAGGACAATTTGGGATCATTCTGGTTTAGAGCATCTTGGCCAAGGTCTTCCTATCCAAACTTTTTCTTTGTTCCTTAAGAAATTGTTGGGCCTCCTCAATCAACCCCATCAAAGCATGGTCTTTGTAGCAGTGCTCTGGCGGATTTAGGGATCCAGAAATTGGGTTGCTTTTAAAGGTAAGCAATTTCGGGTCCAATCTTTGATGCAGCAGTATGAGCAACAACTGCTGGAATGGATTGGCTTACCAGCAGACAGAATGGTCCTGCCTCCCATTCCCCAAGGGGGGAGCGTGTCATCGGGTGAGCCAACCTCGATCATTTGCATGTGGAATGGGGCGACGAGGAAGGGATCTCACGTGGATGGTTCTAAAAGACCAAAGTGGGTAGGCCATTTGATAGCTAATAAGGCACTTTTTTGTATCGGACAACATGTTGTTCATTTAATTTTTTAACATGGTTGCATACTAGGGTGTAATTTGTTCGATCTCTTCTTCAATCAATATATGATTATCTTTTGTAAAAAAAAATATAATAATAAATGAAGGGAATTACCTCTAATTGAAATGGAGAAATGATTAAGCTATAAGATAAATATAAATAAGTATATAAGAAAATAGAGATAAAGTTGATCAAGAAGAAGACGTGATAAATAAGATCCACATCCTTTGGGAATGGGGCAAATCATGAACCAAATAATTTTGAGTTCGAAATATGGTTGAGTTAGAAATGGTTTTCAAATATATTCTGATTTCAATTCCCGACCATAAAGCTAATAAATTAGTTTATAATTATAAAGCAAATACTATGACGCCGATAGGCATATTCCGGCCCCGATTACTAGATTCCGACACCGGTAAGCATATTCCGGCGACAAAAAGCATATTCCGGTGACCGGCGACCAGTTGCCGGCGACCGATGGCAGAATTCCGGCGGTCAAATTTTTGGGCAGAAAATAAAAAAAATATTGTTTTATTTTTTTATTTAAACAGATTTTTCATAATGACAATTATACCCCTACTTTGATTTTACACTAGGTCAACTCATCTAATAAAAACTCATCACAATCCTAGCTTCCTATTGGTTGGAGACTAGTGTTGTTACAATAACAACACAAGGGGTGTTGTCATAGTAACCGGTCCCTTTTTCACATAAAGTATAAAAAATTTATCCATGGCTTGATGTTATATATCCTCAAAAGTTGAAGTTACTATGACAACACCCACACACATAGGTAAGCAAATACTAGAACTACAATTCTACTTGAACAAGAAAATCAAACGCGCCATATGGAACTTTAGGCAAAATCAACATAAAGACACTAGAACCAAAAGCAGAGGACATGTTTTCTCCACTCATACATTTAACCTCAGCCCTAACTTGTTTCACCAACCAGTCTACACCCTTCATAGCAACTTCATGAACAATGGACTTCTGCAAAACACACATTTAACCGAGCTTATATATCCCAGTTTCGACAATTCATCTCTGGTTTGCATGTGGTTTAGCAGTATCATCCACATCACAAACCAATTTTTAGAAGTACCAGGAACTTTCCATATAAGCATATACCATTCAACCTTGGACTGTCGCGGCTGCATCCAAAACCCTTTCTATGAAGAACTTAGCTGAACTGACATTGAAACCTGCTGCAAGAAAGGATCCGAGGATACCATGTACTTGAGGTCGAGTTCTGAGTAGTTTTAACCAATTCCAGGATCCACTTTCTCCTTCAAATAGCCAAAAATCCCTGCCCTTCAGTCTATTAAGTCAAGATTTTATGACATTGCTAAGTGCATAGTATTGCAAAGCCAGAAAACTCATAGTAAAGCTAAAATGATGCATTTACATCTAAAGTAAAACAAAGTCCGTGCCCTCCACTTAACTACTGCAATTGATAACCATCTTCTCGACCCTTTGCGATCAACAGACGCAATGTGTGACAAGCTTTTACCAAAGGAACCAAGCCGATGAAAAGCATAGAAAATAGCGTACTGATCTGGACAGCGCACTACCAGATGAAGGTCAATGATGAATCCATAAACATCTACATTATAACAAAGTCGATTGCAGGGGATACTCTAGATTTGAACTCCCGAGCCTGTTGTTTTGCTACGTAACCTGCCGTATTATTGCAATGAACGACGATTCTCTCGAGCCCCACAAAGTACCCAAGCACATACTGCACAAAGTGGGAATCAGTCCAACAACCACGAAACCCACTAATTTCCACCACTCTGATGCTCTCCCTACTTACTCTGTCCACATTTGGATGTAATATGATCCTTTCCTGTTCGAATCTTTTGAATGACAGTCGCAGTGTGTGCAATCGAGGACAAGCGTTTATCAGCGCGATCAAGCGGATAACGTTGCTGAAGACACCGCCTTCTGTTTCAACCTCCAGTACCTCGAGACGGGTGAATTCAACTACATTGGGAAACCACGAGCCTTCCGACTCTACTCGCATCGCAAGAGCCGCCAACTGAGCAGCATGGCTGGAGATGAAAGCAAATGTAACATCGTCTTCCCTAATGTTGATCCTCAAATCCACAAGAGTAGCAAATTTCTCCATACGTAGTTCCGTCCGCTGATAATAACCCAAGCCCAAGAGCGTGAAGTGGGTGAGCGATGGGACATCAGCTATCTCCAAGGACTTTAGAAGCCTGCAATCCCTCAGTTCCAAGCGCTTCAATGCAAATGCAGCAGCAGCAGGAATACTGAGATTTACTAGTGAATCTGACATGGTTACAGCTAGCTCTTCGAGATGAGGGCAATTAGAGATCAAGTGTTGAATCGTCTCGTCGTCGACGTCGACATGACTAAATCGCAATGATCTCAGGGGCTTGATCTCGGACAACCCAGTTGGGGTTTTGATGTGATTCGCACAGGGGAAAACGTAGTTCTGGTGGTAGTATCGGCACGAAACGAAGGAGAGGTCGAGAGACTCGACCCTTTTCGACAATGCGAACTTGACCCATGAATCAACATCCCCATTGGAACAGCATTGACTCGCCAATTCGAATGAAACCCTAAACTTTTTCAATTGTTGTGGTGGGATTGGGGAGGAGGCATCGTCGTTTCGCTGCTGCCTTGCCACAAACCGCTTGATCCATTCTCTGAACTGGGTCCTTCTCTTCGTCGATAGGTTTGTTTCGTCGAAGTCCAGCTTTGTGACGGCCGATTCCCATAGATTTGCCCAGCTTCTTGAGAGTATTGAAGTCTTGACCGCATCCTTGAAGGGCAAGAGAGACAGAATGATACGCTGGGTTTCCCCTGGTAATTCGTTAATTTTATCTTTCTCTTCTACTTCTATCTTCGCTTTCTTCGTTTTCTGTTGTGAACAAGCAGAGTCGGCGGATGACGCCATGGCGCTCTGCCGTTTTCCTTCTTCACTCTGTTCCTTTCTCTTTTTATATGCCGGATCCACCCTATTCGTAGTAGGTTTAGGAATCATTTAATTAATTTTTATATTCGTTTGCTCGTTTTCCTTCTTCACTCTGTTCCTTTCTCAATTCATTACTAAAGAAAAAGGTTTAGGGCTGAGGGCCCATATCAGCTTCAATCAAACAACAAAGAGAAAGAGGAGGGTTATCAACCCAGACCACTTGCTGATCTCAACCCAATTCAATGTGAGCCAATCAATGGGCCACCACATTTGTCTTCCCCGAGCGAAAAGTCTATCTCACCTCACGTCCCGACAAGGACTCGTTCACTCTAGCCAGCATTTTCAGCTCATCACACCAATAACCCAGCTCCGATAGATCTTCGCCTCCTTTCCTTAGTTGGTTCATCAAAATCTGGCAATCCGACTCGATGATCAGGGGACTAAGCTCCCTTCGATTAGCTTCCCTCAAACCCATAACCAGGGCTTTCGCCTCAGCTTCAATCGATCTACAAATTCCTTTCTCCCTCTTCGCCATCACTCCCACAAAAGCTCCATGCCAGTCACGAATTATACAGCCCAATCCAATCCAATCCCTTGATCTTTAATCACCCCCGCATCAGAGTTTAGCTTGTAAAAACCTTCCACAGGCGGAGTCCAGTGAGTCTCTTGAAGCATGCGAGCATGAGTGAGGTCGCCCCCAGGGTCTGTGTTAGGGGGATCATGAGCTTCCAGAAAAGACGAAATCCATCTCAAAGCACGAGGAACAATCTCATCCTCCTCCATCTTCCGATTGTTGAATTTGTGATTGCAGCGCTCTTTCCACAGGTACCATAAAATATAGCTAAACTTTTGAATTCGATCTTTGGGAAATCTTTCATAACTTCATTTATCCATTCAAAGCATGTCTTCCCTTCCCCTCTTTCGAAAAGATCTTTTTCCTCACAATTCCTCCATCGTCTTCGAATCCAGTCACACTCACGAAGGGCATGCTCTTGGGTTTCCGGAAGGTTGCAGAAGGGGCACTCAGGGGCTGCACACTCGATCCATTCCTCGACATGAACACCCACCGGTAAGATATTCTTACATATTCTCCATAGAAAAGTTTGAACATTAGGCGGAATATGTAGCCTCCAGATAGCTTTCCAAACCTCGAAATCATCAGGGTTGAGATAATGGGAACGAGAGAGATGACTAGGTTGTTTATTACGAATGAATGAGTAGGCAGATTTAACTGAATAAATCCCCTATCAGAGTCTTTCCAAACCCTAGAATCAAGGCCAAGGGGGAATCTGAGAGGGATTTTAGCAATAAGAGTCTGATCTTCCCCAGAAAAGAGCTCCTTGAGCTTATCAAGATCCCAGCTCCCCGAACAGACATCAATAAGGGTGTTAACAGGGGCATCAGGGATAACCCCATTAGGAATAGGGTCAGGCTGAAAGAAACTCTTCCCTGGTATCCATTCATCACTCCAGATATTGATAGACTCACCATTCCCCACTCTCCACCTGAATCCATCAACAATTTCTTCTTTGGCAGCAATAATACTCTTCCAAAGCTAACTAGGTTGGAAACCCAATCTTGCCTGAAGAATGTCAGATTTAGGAAAGTATCGAGCCTTTAACACCCTAGCCATAAGATAGTTAGGTCTGTTAAGAATATTCCAGACCTGCTTTCCAAGCATAGCAAGGTTGAAAGCCTTGAGATCTTTAAAGCCCATTCCCCTTCCTAGGAATTGCTCGTTGTAATCTTCAAAATGAGATCTACATACCGTTTGTTATAAATGAATTCCATAAGTTTTGAGTAATTCATTTTGAAATGAATTTTTTTTTGGTTTGGTATTTAAAAGAATTCATTTTCAATTCTAAATTTTGAATTCACCGGAATTGGAACTAGTTATAGCAATTCCTAGGAATTGAGATGGAATTTCCAAATGAATTTCACAAGTATTTACTAATTATAATAAAATGACATAATTATTTCCATTTATTAACTAAATTACTTCTACAAATATTATTTGGAGTCAACTCAACAGTATGAGAAACGTCGACAAGAATTTGATTGCAACGCCAGTAGCACATGGTTATTTGATATTTATGCTTCTATTGTATCACCAGTGCAGTCAAAATCGAGCATCAAGTCGTAAAAACGTACGTTTTTACCTATCTAGGTCACCAAAACGTTTAAGTTTCCACCTAAAAACGTATGGTGTTCGAAATCGTTCAAAATCGTAGGTGGAAACGTTAAAATCGATGAAAACGGTTAGAAACGCGTTTTCCTACCGTTTTTATGCGATTCCGAACATTGACCAAAAATGGCTGAGTTTCCTCTAAACGACGCCGTTTTGGCGCTAAAAAAAGAAGAAAAATTTTAATGACGGAAGGGGAGTTGAGGGGTATCGGGCTCATCAGCCGAGTTCCCCAAACAGAAATTGCACAACCCACAACCCTAATTCTAGTGATGCTGGGAGCAGGAGCCAGGAAGCACCACAGCAGCGGCCGGCAAGGGGCGACCTCTCCACTCTCCACTCTCCACCGTCGCCAGCAGTCTCCAGCGGCCGGCAAGCGGCGACGACCACCGTGCCAGCAGTCTCCAGCAGCGCCAGCAGTCTCCGCCGACGAGGGGAAGAAGATTGAATTGCAACTGCCGGTTTTGGTCATCCTCACTCCTCAGCCAAAGAAGAACGTTGCGGAACCAGTCTGGAACACCAAGCAAGCAAGTAAAGTAAGCCTTCCCTAATCTTTTGTCAGTAATGCACATATATATTACTACTAGAACACATGAATTAGGTTGTTTGCTTAGCTTATCTTGATGATTATTTAGAGAATTTGTTTTTTACATAAAAGGAATTCTTGTTGTTGCTTTTACATAGACAGATTGCTATTTTCTAGTTCATTCTTTCTTCCCCAGATTGCTGTTGAACATGTAGGGTAATTGCTTTGGCACCCTACTGTCGTGTACCTATACATAATATTTGATTTATTTTCACTTCTCATATTGGGCATTTGGGCTAATTAAGGTTGTACAGGTATGTCGAGTGGAGGTACAGGTACTAGTGCAAGTAATACCGTATCCAATTCTAAAGAAAAGAGAAAAAATGCACAGGGAAATCGTCTAGACCCCGGTTGGCAGCATGGTGTAGATGTACTTGGTACTGGGCAGAAAGTGAGATGCAAATATTGTGACAAGGAAGTATCTGGTATATCTCGCTTCAAACATCATCTTGATGAGAATGAAGGTGATGATGCTATTGGTGTTCCTGATCCAAGAGTTGATGGTGATCATGCATATGATGGCCCATTTGATGGTGGTGGTGATGATGATGACGGTGATGATTTGGATGTTAACGTTGAAGCGGATGAATTAATGTAGTTTCCTTTCTATCATTTAGAACATTTGTGTGATTTGATTTCGAGAACTTGGATTATTAAACTCGTGTGTCATTATGTTATGTAAACTTCTTAAATAGTTTGTGAGAATTTGGTTTCTTTTAACTCATTTATGAGTTATGATTTATGTTTATGAACTTATTATTTAGATGTTATGGGTTTTGCCTACTTTAAACATAAATTGCAGGTATTTACTCATTTATCTGAATTCTGTACACTCATATTTTCCATAGTACATGCCGAATTCAACAGATTTCTAGCTACTCTAGAGGATGCATAAAAAACTTACATTTTTACGTTTTTATTCTACGTTTTACGATTTTACCCATCTGCCGTTTCTAGGTAGAATCGCGTTTTTTACTGCATTGTGTATCACTACGTTGAGAAAACACAATTAGAGTGTAGGGTTCATCGATGAAATATTTAAAAAAGAACTAATGAATAGAATAGAAACATATAAGAACACTTTCGATATTCTACTTATAGGACCAATAGCATTTTTAGAAGATGGATTACAATGAATATTGTTTATGAAGGAAATTAATAAGGATGTAGTCGAAACTTTTAGTTTAATTCCATTTTAAATGTATGTCAAACATGATTTTGGAATTGAATTCATTTTATTTTTAAAAATTTGAATATCACATACCAAACGCGGGAATTCATTTCACAATGAATTCTACATGGTAATTCATTTTAAAATGAAATGAATTCTCAATTCATTTGGTACCAAACGGTCTGCTAGTTTCAATATATTTCGAGGAAATAAATTTCATATCACTCGTTACCATCCTGGTATAGTGGTATCACCTTTATTTTTAACTCAGATTTTAAAAGAATTACCTAGAAGAAACGAGTTTGTCGTAATCTATTGCATCTACAAATTAATGGGGGAAATTTTTCACAACCAAATATACATATATGTTGGTACCTGGTGGTAAACGATGATGAAATGTGAAAAATGACAGGTAGCATATTCCAACTATACAATCATTCTACACTATACTATATTCATACCACCATGATACACTTGCATACCATGTGGTATAAACTTTTGTACATACCAAGTAAAACCACATGGTATGGAGTAGTAATAAAAATCTCAATTTTTTTTGTTCCAAGATATAGCAAAGTGGACGTTATTTTTAAGAGCACTGTTAATTCGATTTTTTGTGCAAAATTTTTAATTCTACCTAAATCAACTATAGCCTGTTATTTTTTAAAAAAATTTCTACCTAAATTTTATATAGTTATGCACTAAATCTGCTTGTTTCCTAGTATGTTTCATAAGGGGACTTGAATCAGTCTCAGAGTCTTAGGTAACAACTAATTAATAACTAGCATGTACTCGGCCCGTTGGCTGGAAAATTTTAATTAGCTCAAATTATATTTCTGTAATGAATTTGAGATTTTTATTTATTTGATGCGTGGGTAAAAATATGGATTAGCTTCTACCAAAAAACAAAATGGAATCATAAATAGTACGCTAAGTTACAATACATCTCTCTCTTCTCTCTCTTCTAATCGCTTTTCTCTGAATCTTCGATTTCACGATGGTGGCGTCGCCGCCAGGCGCAGCGCCGCCCGCTGTGCCGATTAGCTGGGCTTCTCTATTTGAGGTGGATCCGGCAAACAAGATTACGTATCGGCCTCCTCAGAAGAAGAATGATGGGTTTCGTCTCCCTCGTGAAGTCAAAAAGCGGGGAGAGGAGAGGTGGAAGGACTGTCTCATAGCTCAATTTGTTGGGACTGTTCCAAAACCGGCAGCTCTTCAGCAATGGGCTACCAGTCTGTGGGGGAGAGATGGTGTGGTTCGTGTCTCCAAATTTGGCTCTCGATTGATGGTGTTCCAGTTTCCATCCTGCTACTGGGAGTGGGTATTCAGGTCGGGACCGTGGCACTTCCAAGGTAATCCGGTTTATTTTCGGAAATGGTTTCCTGGGATTCAACCTGTTACTCGTGTTGTTGAAACCCTACCGATTTGGGTTAAGTTGTGGGGAATTCCGTTGGAATATCATTCATTCGAGGGGCATGAATGGATTGCCAGTACAATTGGAGCACTACTAGGGTTGGGGCTCAATTGGGGTTTGCAAAAGTTTGTATTGATTTGGCTGCGGATTGTGGATTTCCATATAAGGTTCGAATTTACCCTGATGATGATCCGTCGTTTGAAATTGAGATAGAGTATCTGAACAAGCCTTTGGTGTGTGATAGATGTGAGATCTATGGGCATGATTGTAATTGGTTAGCTAAGAGTGGAAAGAAGTGGATTCCAAAAGTTAAGGTTGATGTTGAGACTACAGCAGCCGTGTCTCAGACTGGTGTTGCTCAAGTAAGGGATGCTAATGATAAAGGAAAGGAAGTGGCACATAGTTCTGATGTAGTTATTTCTGCTGGATCTGTTGTTGAAGGAAGTTCTCATTCTGCTTCTCATGAGATTGGCACTAGTTTGGTTGTAGTTGGTTCTGGGTCTGCTGTTGAAGGTATTTCAAGTCCTGCTCCTCAGTCAATAGGGGGCCTAGCGGGGAGTTTTGCCGAGGCAGTAAAGGGATCATCAGTCTCATCTGGGAGTCCTGCTACCACTCAGCTTATGACTAAGCAATCTAGCTCACCTGTGGGGAGGTTGGATGCTCAGTCTACTGCTAGAAATGAGGGTAACCATTGGATCATAGTTACTGGGAATTCGGCTAAGAAGAAACCTCATGTTCCTCCTGCTAAGAAGGGGGGGGGGGGAAGGGTGGCAAGAAGAAATGAAAGTCTTATCATGGAATACCAGGGGATTTAAAGACCATGGAAAGAATAAAATTGTTCAACAGCTAGTAAATAAACACAATATAGGTATAGTAGGTATACTAGAGCCAAGAATCAAAGTAGCTGAGTCAGATGCACTCATTAGTAAGAGATTCCCTGGATGGGAGAGGAAGGTTGCTTGTAATGCAAATGGTTTGGGGAAGGTATGGATGCTCTGGAAGCAGGATGTGCAGTTGAGGGTCTTGGATAGTTCAGATCAGTTTGTTCATGCCTTGGTAAGTTTAGGGTCACCTCTCTTTATAACTTTTGTCTATGCTTCTAACGTAGAAGTGACAGAAGAAAGCTCTATAGTGATCTAGTTAGGTTGAGAGTTGGTCAGGTTCCGTGGATAATCCTGGGGGACTATAATGCTATCAATGGCCCCGAGGAGGCCTCAAATAGCCCTGATCCTAATAGTAGCATGGAAGATTTTAGAACCTGGCAGAGTATGGCTGAAATAGTGGAACATAAATCTTCTGGTCCTTGGTTCACATGGATCAACAAACAACAGAATAATCCTAGTGCTAGGAGGCTTGATAGAGCTTTCATTAATTTGAAATGGTTAGAGGGGATGAAGGATAGTGTTGTGGATCTTTTGGATCCTTCAGTGTCTGACCACTGCCCTGTTTTCTTAAATACAGACAGTAAGATAAAATCCCTTCCCAAGCCATTCAAGTATTTTAAATTTTGGGTCTCTCATCCTAAATTTTTTGACCTGGTTAAAGAGGCATGGGGTACTGAGGTGGAAGGCTCACCATTATCCAGGGTCTGCAAGAAATTAAGAGTTCTTAAGAAGTTGCTCAGGGAATTGAATAAGGAAGAGTTCTCTGATTTAAGAGAAAGAGTAAAGTTGAAGGAAACTGAATTACAAAATGCACAGGCTATTGCTTTAGCATCTGAGTCTTTTGTTCTAGTCAAGGAAAGGGAAGTGGAGTTATTAGCTATTAGAAATGCTGAAGAATCTTTCCTTTGACAGAAGTCTAGGGAAATTTGGCTCAAGGAAGGGGAGTTAGACTCCCCTTACTTTCATCGCTCAGTCAAAATCAGGAACCAGAGGAACACAATAAGATAACTTATTAATGAAGCTGGGGAAAGGGTGGTTGATACTAATAGTATGAGTGAGGTTGCAAAGAGGTTCTATCAGAATTTGCTCGGTAAAGGTGACCCAACTGTGCAAGCTAAGTCTGTGGAATATAATAGGGGGTTGTTACAAAAATCACTTCCTAGTAATCTGGCCATTGAAATATGTAAACCAGTCACTGCAGAAGAGATCAGGAAAGTCATTTTTGGGTTTCGAGGGGAGAAAAGTCCTGGCCCTGATGGCTATTCAGCATGTTTCTTTCATCATGCTTGGAGTGTTGTTGGGGAAGAAATCACTGCTGCTATACATCATTGCTTCGTAGTGTCTGAATTCCCTTTGGAGGTGAACTCTACACTCTTAGCATTACTACCTAAGATTAAGAATCCAGAAGAGGTGAAAAATTTCAGGCCTATTTCATGTTGTAACATTTTATATAAATGTATAGCAAAGATCATTTCTTCTAGGCTTAGTGAATGCTTGCCTCATCTGATTAGTGAGAACCAAACTGCGTTTGTTAAAGGGAGAATCATAGGAGAAAACATCCTGCTTGCTCATGAAATGGTTCAGAAATATAATAGGAATAATATGTCTCCTAGATGTATGGTGAAGGTGGACCTAATGAAGGCATTTGACTCTGTGGATTGGACTTTCCTCTCCACTGTGTTAGAGGCCATGAATATACCTTTAAGTTTCATTAAGTGGATTACAATGTGTTTCACAACACCTAAAATCAGTGTTGGTTTCAATGGAGGGGTGGTTGGTTATTTCTCAGCAAAGAAGGGATTAAGACAAGGAGATCCCCTCTCTCCTTTCTATTTGATGTAGCAATGGAGGTATTTAGTTGCCTTATGAAACAAGTTGTTCACGAAAATAGAATGCCTTTTCACCCAATGTGCAAAAGAATAGGTTTAACCCACCTAATGTTTGATGATGACTTACTGCTTTTTTCTGATGGATCCAACTATGGCATTCAATGCATTCGAGAGGTGCTTACGCAATTCAGGGTGCTATCTGGTTTAGTTTCTAATCCAACTAAGTGTGAGCTCTACTGCTGTGGGTTACCTAAGGAGTGGCAGGAGAGCATGGCTGCCAGAGCTGGTTACCAGCTAGGCACTCTCCATGTTAGGTATTTAGGAATACCATTAATTCCTGGAAAGCTTACCACCAAGGCTTGTCGTCCCTTAATTGACAAATTAGTTAAAAAGATTCAGAACTGGGGGGTGAAAACTCTGAGTTATGCAGGAAGACTTCAACTGGTACTTTCAGTTTTATACAGTATGGTTCAATTCTGGATGGCTGTGTTTATATTGCCTAAGAAAATGATAATGGAAATTGAGAAATTGTGTAGTGATTTTTTGTGGGGAGTGGGCAAAGAAGGAAAGAAAAGAGCAGTGGCAACATGGGGTAAGCTGACTTTCCCTATAAGAGAGGGCAGTCTGGGTATAAGGGACATGAAAAGTTGGAACCTGGCTTGCATAGTGAGACATATATGGGATCTTCTTACTAAGCAAGGGTCCCTTTGGGTTGCTTGGATATGGGAGTACAGGCTCCATGGGACTGATTTCTGGACCTCAACATGTAAAACAGGCTCCTGGTTGTGGCTTAAGGTACTTAAAACAAGGGATTTAATCCAAAACAAGTTGATTGTTCAGAATGGTGAGGGGTTCTGGAAGGGGAAGCTGTTGAAGAAATTCTCAACCAAGCAGTTCTGGGAAGAACTCAGACCTCACAGTCCTGAGGTGCCTTGGTTTAAACTGCTCTGGAAAACTCCTATTATCCCTCGTAATCAGTTTATCAGTTGGCTTATCATTAAGCAGTTTATCTCTACTTGTGACAAAATGGTAGATTGGGGCTTCCAAGGGGTAACTGCTTGTGTTTAATGTGATTGCAGAATTGAGACTCAAAATCATCTGTTTGCAGAGTGTTGCAGATATAAGGAACTATAAACAAAGCTCTTTTCTAAATTCTGCCATAGAGCTCCCACAAACTTATGGTCTACTGAACTAAAGTGGGCTATTGATTCTTTTTCAACCTCTGCTCCTCATTCAAGGTCTGGCAGAATGATTTGGCAATCTATGATTAGTAATATATGGCGGATGAGATGTTCGGTCAGGTTTGGAGGGGCAGTTTTAAGTCTTAATGAAGCTGTCAAAATGATCAAGGATGAAGTTCAGATTGTGTGTGAAGCAGTTGAGGTTGAATTTTTCTTTTGAGTGCATCTGATGTTGTTTGATTGCTATGGTATTCTTGGCTCCTTATAGTTAGTTTGCAGGTGGGTAGAGGTGTTGGTTTTGTAACCTCAGTGGCAGGGGGTGTTGCCACAAAGTAACTGGTTTTTTTATGATTAATATATAGCTAACCATTCATAAAAAAAAAACAAAATGGATTAGCTCAAATTATATTTGTGCATAAAATTTTATAGTTTTATCATCAATAAAATGAAAATTTTATACGACTCCATCAAAGTTAACTAATGAATTTTGCAATCAGAGCTGATCAATTTCGTAATCATGATAATCAACTCATTGTTAAGAAATTATATATTTGGTTTAATTTGATGATCTTAGTTAAGATTTTTGTACTTGATTTTCCTTGGTTGGATTTCTAATGGTTCGAGAACATGTAAGTACAATTATTATTATTAATAAGCATCCAACTCATAATATTTTTCTAACTGCATGGTATACATATTGAAGTAAACAATTCACAACTTGTATCCTAACACCTAACCAAGTTGACCAAGGTAATGGATACTAAATAATGCATTTGATCCCGTCCCCAACGGTCCAAAGGTTCCAATCGTTGGAATATTCTGAACCATTCATGATAACGAACAAGGGCTTGGTCTAGTGGAAATACCACTAGTCTAGAACTTGGAGGTCCCAGGTTCGAATCCCTTAAGTATTACCTTAATAACAAGAAAATAAAACCTATATCACCCTTATAAGAAAAAAAAAATAATGCATTTTGTATCAAATGTGATTGATTAAGGGCGACCACATACTATGCTTTGTTTGTTTATACTTGACTTGATTGCTTAATGATTTTAATAAAAGAAAATTATTACCATATAATTTGAATGTGTTTAATATGTCAACCATAACGACTACCCTATGACTCTTATCTTTCAAACGATTATTGTATACATGAAAATATGCACCTCATGCAACCATGGTTGTCAAATTGATTCCAACAATTGACCTAATCAAGCAAGTGGACCACGGTTTGACTGGTCCTTCTGAAATAAAATTATTTAACTCGGAATTACTCGAATTTAAGGCACACAACAGAGAGAGAAAGGGTTTGTGAGGGAAAGAAAAAAGTAAAATGGTTTGGCGTATTCACTTAATATCTCAATCCATGAGAACCTGACGCTTAACCCGATTTGACCAATTTTATGCTAAATTGAATGCGTAAAACTCGATATGTAGTCATTTATCATCAAACTCATGTCAACCATGAATTAACAATTATGTGTGCAGAATAATCTTAACCCATATTTATTAGTTGTAAACTCAATTCCCATAAGCATAAATATATATATCTTCCATTCCATTGGTCGGTGCCATTAACATGAAAAACCAGAAAATTAGTAGTAGTTGTATGCATAAGCTGGTAAAAGTTAGTCTGAATAAGAGGTATGTATGAATATGTTCTTAAAACACCAAGTATATTTGGATTAATCTAACAGACTAACAGTTGAGATATGGTGTGGAGTGGATTAAATATAAAAAAAAACTTTACACATTCTATCTATGTTTCAAACTATTGACCATATATATCTAACTTACTGTAAATAAACCTATTGAAATAAAAATGGTAACCTCTTATTTCTTAATTATTAGTTATATTATTGTAAACATAAGCAAATATATATATTGTCTAAACCCATTGATCGTTGTCATATGCATACCAGATCCCTCATAACATAACAAATGCTTTAAATCTTAGAAAATAATATGACATTCGATACACAAAATACCGATATATTTGGATGATGTCAAACACCATTACTAAACTCCAACCTAAAATTATAAACCTCTAACCATGAGAAGCATCCAATCAAATCTAACTAACACTATATCCCTAGCAAAAAAATAGTGGAGGAAGCATGGCTCTATAAATAGGCAAAATACACGAAAGTGTATAGAAGACAATAAATCAATAGCCGATTTTCAACTAGATTAAAAAAAAATTCTCAAATAGATAAAAAAAAATTATGATTCTCAAATAGATATAAAAAGACGATTCCCAAAGTTGTCGCGATAGTGAAGGTTTGGGAATTGCAGATCCCAGGTTTGGATTCAAGCGAGGCCTATTGGTGTTCCCGGAGGTATAAAGGATGTTGGGTGAGAAGCCACGTTGGCCTCAAATTGAATGTAGGTGGCCACAGGTCTAGTAGGACCTGCTGTTACAAAGTGGTACATGGGGTTGAGATTCCTGGGTAATAAAATAAAAATTCGCGATGTTTGTAACCTCATTCAAGACATTAAATTAATTGTCTTATATAATATATAATGAAATGTGGTGTGCTTGACAAATAAATTTGTAACTCAAACTGAATTAATTTATAGATTAAAATTCATATATTACAATATTTTATACATCTAAATCTAGAATATATACTTATCAGAATAAATATATAATATACGGTACACAATTTATAACAAATAAATGTTAAAACCAAGAATTATAAAATCGTATCGAATTGTGTATCGAAATAGTTAATGATATATTATTTTGTTCTTAAATAGTGGTCTGACCGTGATTTTACCATTTCCTAACGATAAAATCGTCTACAAAATTAAACTCTACTATGCAATTTTTCTTGTCAAACTTATAGTAGAATTTTGTGAAGATTTTTTTTTAAATTAAAAATGGCATACTCATATTCTCAAATCATGTGAAAAAAGTAACTGCTAACGTGAAATTAATTAAAGCAATATAAAATAAATAAAAATTGAGCTAGGTTTGCGGGATGCTTTCGTTATTGCTCCCAGTCCAAGTGAAACCACAAAAATCGGGAGCTACTAATTAACGCCCTAACTTTTTAAATTTGTCACTCTAAAATTATCTAATTTGATAATTTTATCGCCAACTTATTCTCAATCCCTAACCAAGTTTCGCCCTAGGATTCTTCCCGGCACCGTCGCAGGCCTTACACTGCGCCGCTTGAGGACGTAGAAGAGAGGAAATAATCATGCCCCGTCGGGCACCTCTACTACCTGGCCAACTGGTTCCGTCCCACCCACTGCCGCCGCCGCACACCACTGCTATAGCTGGGTTTAGGGATCAGTGCAGTCAAAATCGTGCATTAAAACATAAAAACGTAAGTTTTTACGTATCCAGGCCACCAAATCGTTTCAGTTTCTACCTAAAGTCGCTTAGTCACAAAAACTGGTAAAAACATGTGTAAAGTCGGTAAAATCGCGATTCTGAAGCGTTTTTATACGATTTTGATCATCTCATTAAAATGTGCTAATTGGTCCAAAATGATGTAATTTTGGAGACATATTAGCAAAAAATAAAAAAAAGGAAAACATGATTCATCACTCGTTCTACAACTAGTGTCGAAATAGGGGCTTCACATTAGGTTGAAAAGACACCTAATGGTATTCTCAACAGTCGCTGACCTTCTATCAGTCTTCTACCTTAATCTTCACTTGTGGCTCTTATAAGGGTTACGATGAAAGTTTATGGGTAATTGATCGTATGTAATTATGTAAACTCAAACCAGCTTATGAGAATTTGGATTCTCAAGCTCGTTTACGGGTTACGATCTACGTTTATGAGCTTATTATTAAGATGCTATGAGTTTTCTCTACTTTTGAGTCTACGCAAATTAGTTTATGTGTTAGATATTATATTTTAATTATGAATTTCATGTAGTTATCCACTTATCTAAAATCTACACACTCACATTTTACATACTATATGTTGTACTTAACATATTTTAGCTATTTTAGAGGGTGCGTCAATAACTTACGATTTTACGCTTTGATTCTATGTTTTACGATTTTACCCATTTTCCGCTTCTAGGTAGAATCGCGCTTTTAACGGGTTAATTGCATGGTTGGTCACTGAGATTACAAAAAACGTTCAAGTTTGGTCACTTGAAATATTTAAATTCATTGGTGGTACTTCAGTTTACTCAAACTGTTCATGTTTGGTCACTCTCCGTCCAACTCCGTTAACTTTGACTGATGTGGCACTCAACTCTCAAAGTTGACCGTTAACTTAATGACGTGACAACTAAAAATTTATTAAAAAAAGTTATATTTTCTACCTCATTATTACATTCATTAAACAATAAAAAAATAACAAACCTAATACACTATCCAACCCAGCCGTTAAGATTTAAAATGTTTCAAATATTCAAAAATTATCAAATCCCAGACTAATAAACGCAGCAGCAACTGCACCTCTTGAGTTTCTGAACATTCTGGCACAACCGCCAATCCATTCCTTCCTCCGCCGCCGCACAATTCTTCTCTCCTCACACCGGCCGCCGATTTCTGATCATCGCTCGCCATCTACCTTTCCATCTTTTCGCTCTCTCTTCCTTATCCCTATTTTCGGGAGCCGCAGAATTCGAATCTTTTCTTTTTTCGCCTCCTTTTCCCCGCTTTTCTCCATTTCTTCGATTTGTTCGGCGGCACTGCAGAAACCCTAGTTAGTATCCGACTGTCACTTCACCTCTCCGTTATCTCGCTATCCACTCTTCCCCTCCGTGATTCACCGTCGTCGATAGCCAAGGTAATTACCTCTTTGAAGAATTTGATTCACGAGCCTGCTTGCTTTGACTTTCTTTAAGCTCCGGAACTTGAAGATGAACCAAGTGACGCCAAGGATAAATATTAAAGCAGTGGTTACGAGAATCAATCGAAGTATCCATAGATTGCTCATCCTCCTTTTGGGTTCTTGTTTTTGTGGACAGAGACCTTCCATGTCCCCACACAAACCTGGGTTCCCTATAAAGCTGTTCTTGTAAATCTGCTTGGCAAACATGTTAGTTTACTGAATTGCTTCTCTTATTACTGAATCAATCGAAGGAAAAACGTAATGAATCCAGGATGTAGAGCTGGATTTATAGTACAGACTGTAGGCAAGAGTCAAGGAGGGAAAGACCGTTATGGTCATAACAACCTTGACCATATTACCTTTTACTACCTATACTAATTCTAGTTACAATCATCCTATCTAACTTTACAAGTTGATCTATATCATCTAATACCCCCCCCGCAAGCTAAACGTGGATTGACTTTAGGTTTAGCTTGGAAATGAGGTCAACGAAGGTATGAACTGGAAGTGCCTTTGTGAAAGGATCTGCCAGTTGCAAAGTGGTTGAAATATGCTGGACCTTCAGTTTGTTGGCAAGAACCTGATCACGAGTGAAGTGGCAATCGACTTCAATGTGTTTTGTTCTTTCGTGTTGAATGGGATTCTCTGTCATCTTGACTGCAGATTGATTGTCACAATAAATGGTGTAAGGCTGCTGAGGTTGGACTGGAAGATGCTTGAACAATGTCGTCATCCACTGCAATTCCTGAGCTGTATCTGCCAAGGCTCTGTATTCAGCTTCTGTAGAAGATCTGGAGATGGTTTGCTGCTTCTTAGACCGCCAGCTGACCAGTGAATTACCTAGGAACACACAAAAATCAGTTACTGAGCGTCGTGTGTCAGGGCAACCAGCCCAGTCAGAATCAGAAAAGGCTGAAAGACGAGTAGAAGAGTTGCTGGGGAAAAATAATCCACGAGCTGGGGTTGTTTTCAAGTATCTGAGCAGTCTGTGTGTGGCCTGTTCATGAACTGTGGTAGGGGCATCCACAAACTGACTAAGCTGGTTCACAGTGTAGCAGATGTCTGGTCGAGTAGTGCATAAATACTGCAATCGACCTATCAATTGCCTGTAACTACTGTGAGCAGATTCATCTAATAAGATTCCCTCAGATGTAGAAAGATGTATAGCAGGAATAGAGGGAGTGGTAGTAGGTTTAGCAGCTAGAAATCCTGTATCAGATAGGAGATAAAGAGTGTATTTTCGTTGGCATAAATGTAAGCCACTCTCAGACCTTGAAACTTCCATACCAAGGAAGTATTTGAGCTTGCCATGGTCTTTGATTGTAAATGCAATATCAAGTTGTTGTTTTACATGATTAATTTCAGTCATATCATTGCCAGTTAGAATAATATCATCAACGTAAACTAATAAAGCTGTAAAGGATGTGTCAGAAGATTTTGTGAACAGAGAATAATCACTGTGTGACTTCTGGTAACCAAGGGTTTCTAAAGTTGTGGCAAGTTTAGCAAACCATTGACGACTGGCCTGCTTAAGACCATATAACGATTTAGTAAGCTTGCAGACTTTGTTTTTATCAGAAGGTGAGACTTGTAAACCTGGTGGTAATTTCATATAGACATCTTCATTAAGATCACCATGAAGAAAAGCTGTGTTTACATCAAGTTGTTCAAGATGCCAGTTATATATGGAAGCTAGAGCTAACAATATGCGGACTGTTGTCATTTTAACTACTGGAGAAAAGGTATCCAAGTAGTCAATTCCAGGTGTTTGAGTGTAGCCTTTGGCTACTAACCTAGCCTTGTACTTGTCAATGGATCCATCTTGTTTGAATTTTAATCTGAACACCCATTTATTGCCTATAATGGGAACATTAGGTGGAGGATCAACTAAAACCCAAGTTTTTGTTTTGGCAAGAGAAGAAAACTCAGAATTAACAGCATTGAGCCATTCTTGAGAATTTGCTGCTTCTTTGTATGTTTTTGGTTCTCTAACTTGAGTAATTGCTAAAGCAAAATGCCTGTGAGATGGGCTCAAAGAGCTGTATGTCAACTGGTTATGGATAGGGTATTTGACTGAGGTGAGTAAAGTGGATTGACTAACCAGATTACATTTGTAATCTTTGAGTCGTGCTGGTGGAACAATCTGTCTAGTTGATCTTCTTAGTGAAGGAGCAATAGGGTTTGTTGGTGGAAGAGAAGAAGATGTAGAAGATACATCTGGAACAGAACAAGTATACTGGGATTGGTGAAATAGATGGTGGATGAAAGGAAGCTGTGTGTGCTTTGCTAAATTCCAGGTCTGGAGAGACAGATGGAAAAACTGGAAGAATGATAGAAGATTGAATGTTCTGGTGAGATGTACTAAATGGAAAGATTGTCTCATAAAAGGAAACATCTCTGGAGATAAAAAGATTATGTGTAAGAAGATTATATAACCTGAACCCTTTAGTGCCATGAGGGTGACCCAGAAAGACACATGGGTTAGACCTAGGATCCAGTTTTGTGCGTGTGGCTTGAATGGTTGCAGCATGAGTGAGACAACCAAAAACCCTTAGATGGTCTAAAGTAGGTGGGGAACCATATAACTTCTCAAAGGGAGTGAGATTATTGAGAAGAGAGGAAGGTGTTCTGTTTATTAAATGAACAGCATGCATAGCTGCAAAATTCCAAAATTGTTTTGGTAAGGAAGCTTGAAACAATAATGCTCTAGTGACAGCAAGTATGTGTTGATATTTTCGTTCAACAATACCATTTTGCTGTGATGTGTATACACAGGTGGTTTGGTGAATTGTTCCTTTGGAGCTATAAAAGTCTGGAATTAGGAACTCAAGACCATTGTCAGTTCTAATGATCTTAATTGTGCTATGGAACTGAGTTTCAACAAATGAAAAGAAAGACATGATAATAGATCTGGCTTCAGACTTGGACTTCATTGTAAATATCCATGTATGTCTACTGAAGTCATCTACTATAGTTAGGAAATAAGCATGACCCTGTAAAGATTTGACAGGAGCATTGCCCCATATATCAACATGAATTATGTCAAAGGGAGCAGTTGTTTGGCTAGAGCTGGAAGGAAAGGGAAGTCTCTTTAATTTTGCTGTTGGACAAACCATACAATGAAAGTCTGAAGAAGTAGAGATAGTACTATCAAGATAGTTGAAAAACTTATTCTTAGAAGTAGGTACATGACCAAGTCTATAGTGCCATACATCAATATATGGTTTGGTACTGGAAAAAGCTACAGATGGTAAAGCAGCTTGTTTTATGTTGAGGTTTAGACCATGTTGAAGCTGGGCAGTTTGAGAGGGGTGGTGTAGAATGTATTAGCCATCAAGGAGACTAGCTGTTCCAATCATTGTCAAACTGGGGTAGGCCTGTATGAAGCAGAGAGAGTAATGGAACCATAAGCAAATGGTAGAACTCCTTACTAATCTGCTAACAGAAACCAGGTTGAAGCTAAAAGATGGAACATACAGAACATCAAAGAGAATTAAGTGTTCTGAGTATTTCACAGTTCCTATGGCTTCTACAGCAACCTTGCTACCATTAGGCATATGCACAAAAATGTTTTTGACGGGTTTATACTGATGAAAATGCTTCAAGGAGCAGATAATATGGTCTGTGGCTCCTGTGTCCAGGATCCACTTGTCCTGGAGATAGCAATTAACATTAAGTGCATAATGAATGGTACCTGAAGGTTCAGTAGTGGTAAAAACATGAGAAGCAACAGAATTGGCTCTGCTGACTGTAATGTGATGTCCTGATCCTTCACTCTCATGAGAAGCTGAGTAGTGTGGAGGATTGTTGGCAGTATATGCCTCATGAAAAGCTCCTGGTGATGGGACAGTTGGCTGTGAAACTGGATGCTGATAGGTTTGCTGCTGTGAATAGGGATTCATAATGCTGAGCATCTTCTGATATTGCTGTTGGAAAGTCTGCCAATCAGTCTGATTGATAACAACTGTTCCAGCAGATGATGACCCAGGATCAGCAGAAACACTATTAGCTTGCCTAGTAGGCTGTTTCTTCTTGGATTGATAACCAGGAGGATATCCATTCTTCTTGTAGCAGATATCTTCAGTGTGTCCTGTATACCCACAGAAAGTGCACACTGGTTTCTTGCCCTGCTTCTTGAACCCTTGACCAGCACCCTGAACACCCAAATTCTGTCCTGAAGCCTTAGTGAAGAAGGCCATGCTTTCTGAAGCAGGATTGGGGTTAGGTTGGGGTTTAGGGAGTAAACCATTCTCCCTTTCGTGTTGCACCATCATAGCAAACACCTTATTGATAGGAGGTAAGGGATCTAAGAGCATAACTGTGGATCTTGGACCATTAAAGCTATCATTCAGATTACGCAAGAACCTAATTACTTTGTCATTCATGTAATCTTTGCGTAGAGATGCTAGCACACAATGGCAAGTGGTTCCACAATCACAATCAGGAATGAATCTGTAATTCGCTAACTGATCCCATAATGCGCGTTGCTTAGAATAATACTGAGAAACACTCATGGTACCTTGCTTGAGGTTGAAGATGGCCTCTTGAAGATCAGCGATGCGGAAAGAATCACCTTGCGAGAACTGTTCGCGTAGCTCAGACCAAGCACAAATGGCGGTGGTGACGTACAAAATGCTCTCTGCAATGGTAGGATTGACAGATCTCTGAATCCAGCTGAGGAGCAGTTTGTTGTTCCGATTCCAAGACTCGAAAAGAGGAGAATCATCATTTGGCTGCGGGATTTTGCCATTCAGGAACCCTAATTTGTTCTTGCCATCGATAACAAGAACCATCGATCGTTCCCAGCTTGAGAAATTGTTCTCTGTAAGCGGCTGAGAAACAAGACATTGCCCCCAATTCTCCGATGGATGAATGAAGAACGGTGAAGCTGGATCGGAAATTGGGACGCCTTTGTACAGAATCACACCAGAATTGCTCTGGCGACCTCCAGTGTGAGGATTTGTGGCTTCGTCGCCAGAAGAAGAAGAATCGTGAATCGCCATAGGAGGACGATGTGAAAAACTCAGAGAGGAGATATGCGGAAACGAGAACGGGAGACGCAAAACGGCTCAGAGGAGCTCTGATACCATGCTAGTTTACTGAATTGCTTCTCTTATTACTGAATCAATCGAAGGAAAAACGTAATGAATCCAGGATGTAGAGCTGGATTTATAGTACAGACTGTAGGCAAGAGTCAAGGAGGGAAAGACCGTTATGGTCATAACAACCTTGACCATATTACCTTTTACTACCTATACTAATTCTAGTTACAATCATCCTATCTAACTTTACAAGTTGATCTATATCATCTAATAAAACATGGGAGGGAGATCGCCTGAGAGCCTATTGTTGGACAAGTTTAACAAGTTAAGCTTCAACTTCTGGAGATCTGTTGGGATTTTGCCTGAAAACCGGTTCCCTGAAAGATCAAGATAGTTGAGCACCGGCAAGCTTCCTAGCCCGGCTGGGATTTGGCCGGACAAGTTGTTGTTGGCCGAATTGAGCTCAAACAAGCTGTTCCAACCTTGAGCTCCGGCGGGAAACTCCCCGGACAATTCATTGTTGCTCAAAACCAGCCTGCCGAGTTGATTCATCTGCGCCAAACTCTGCGGGATTCGGCCACTGAGTCGATTATGGCTGGCCGCGAATTCAATAAAATTCCCCAAAAACCGCAGCTCGACAGGTATAGGACCTGAAAACTGGTTCCTCGACATAAGCAGAAGTGAGAGGTTAAAAGCAGAGGAAACTTTCCTGGAGATTTGGTCGGTCAAGGAATTCCCGTCGAGCTCAAGCAAGTACATCCCGGGGAGTCCCCACATGTCATCGGGGAGCGGCCCGGACAAGCGGTTGTTCCTCAATCGAACTCGACCCAAGCTACGACATTTTCCAGGATGTTCCCGGAGAAAGAATTGTAGATGAGAATCAGATCGATTCGGTATTTGCTGTTGTTGATGATGGATTGTTTACTTACATGCTGCTGCTTCTGCTCAATTAATTGAGAACTCGTTAATTCGTGGTTTATTTTTTTATTTTTTAATGAATATAATAATGAGGTGGAAAATATAAAAAAAATTTAATAATTTTTTAGTTGCCACGTCACTAAATTAACGGTCAACTTTAAGAGTTGACTGCCACATCAGTCAAAGTTAACGGAGTTGGACGGAGAGTGACCAAACGTGAACGGTTTGAGTAAACTGAAGTACCACCAATGGATTTAAATATTTCGAGTGACCAAACTTGAACGTTTTTTGTAATCTCAGTGATCAACCATGCAATTAGCCCCGCTTTTAACTGCATTTTTAGGGATGACAAAAATACCCGTAACCGTGGATATCCGTATGAATCCGACCTAATCGGATAAGGTAAAACCCGAACCCGAAGAACTTTTAGTGGGTGCGGGTACAACTCGAACCCGAATGTTACGGGTAATGGGTGGGCATGGTTTTCTCACTATCCAACCGAACCCGCCCGATTATACACATGCATATGTATTTTGTATAGAAATAACCAATATTTTTCTCTAACATATTTTATATCTAGCATATAAATATAATATTTTTATGAAATTGTGTTCTTTTAATTAATTTTCTTCATTCTAGTGAATTATTGTCATACTTTTCGTCTTACGTAACATGAGAATACGTGTGAATATTAACATATTGGTTGGAGTTATAAAGAGAAACTACTACCCATGGATAACCGTGGATACCCGAAACCCGAATGGGTACGGGCATGATTTGATTTTTCTACCCGTTTCTTATGTGGGTATGGGTAAAACCCAAAGTACTTAGGTGGGTATGGGCACTATCCGTCCCCGACCCACTGTCATCCCTACCTGGGTTGCTCCGCCCTGCATTCCAATCAACAACCGGAACTTGACCCGCATCCATGTACGACCCGCAACCAGCCACAACGGTTCGGTTTGCTTGTTCTTCGTTCCTTCTCTAGACAGCGGTAGAGGGAGTTGGGTGTAAGCGACCGATTTGCTTCTTGCAACGACGGATCAGAGGTAGCGGGCCGACATATATAACGCAGCAAAGGTGAGGTGGCGGCGATTGAGTTTCGACAGAGCAGTTGGCGGCGGCACTAGTCAATTTCTGGCGGAAAGATGGGGAACTAAGGGGGCGGATCGACAATGGGGACGAATGAAGGGGAAGGGTGTCAATTTCGTTGAGTTTTGGTGGAGCAGAGGGCGGCGACGATTGAGCTTTGGTGGAGCATAGGACGGCGGCTGTAGTTGATGCCGGGAGGGAAGAAGGGGAAGCGGACGGGTTGACGATGGGGAAGAATGAAGAGGATGAGTTTGATTTTTAATTCAGGGGCAAAATTGTTCGTGCAATCGGGTTAGGGCGAATAATTCAAATTTTTAGAAGTTCAGCAAAAACCCACGTTTAGCAAATAGCAAAAGATTTATTTACAGGCAATTATCATTGTACCCTTACCGAAATTCAAGGAGAAGGCAGCAAATTTAAAAAGGAGAAAAGTACATGAAAATGTACTATATATTATTGAAGAATTGGATTTTTTTTTTTATGGGAATCTGAATTCATTAAAGAAATTAAGGCGTGCACTCCATTACAGTAATCCCAGCCCGGCCCAAATCCGCTTCATTGAAGAATTGGATTTCGTTGAGGCCTTGGAGCATCTCATCTCTAAATTTTAGCAATTGCTAAAGTGTGTTAAGCTTCTATTATTATATGACACATTTCAAGTGAGGTAGAAGTGTTGGTTAAATTAGCAAGATTATTTATTAGAAAATCTCTAGTAATGTTGCATGTATAATTGTTTTTTATTTATTTCGTATTTGATAATTTTTCAATTGAAAAGTGTTTTGGTAGATTTAAAATAATAAGTGCGACCATATTTGAAATTGCTAACATATTTTAGAGATGTTCATGATTAGAAATTGATAAGTAGATAATTGTTAAAATTGATGATGTGGTTATAGCCTATAGGAACCACATTTAGAAATTGCAAATTACTTTTAGGGATAAAAATGATGTTACACTCTTACCATTCTTTTACATCGTTTTGTAAGTTGTCAAACATGTCTCGTTGAGTCGAACTTTACTGGGTGTATTTAGATTAGTTCGAACGATGGCCCGCCTAATACTCATCCCTAACCATATTTTTATCTCATGAGACTGCATGGTAAATTATAAAACATATAATTCGCATTTGAACACCATCTTCCCCAAATATTGGTAAGATTAAACAGAATCAAGAAATTAAGAGAATAGAAAGAATATACTGATCTGACAAACCAATTAACGCCCAAAAGATCCTGCTCAGAAATTCAGAATCACATTCTACACTCAGTTATGATCAGCAGCAGCCGAAAAGGTTATCTGCCATTTCATGCGTCAAACTGGTGCACAACTCTGCTATCTGTTTATGGCTTGCTTATACAATGTTTGATTGTCCACTTACACGCTTTAAGTCGTTGGATCAACAATATCAAGACATTGATCTAAACAATTGACTCGGATTGTCGAGCTAAAAAAGAAAGCAAGGAATACTATCAAGAATCAATGGAGGTTGGTTCGTTGGATGAGAGTTCAACCAACCCCATCCAGCCAAATACAAACCTTTACCAAACATAATTGTTTCACCTCAAACATCGTTTTATTGCGAATTTGTCGTCCACAGAGCACCGGCAGCAGTTGGTCTGTTGGTGCTTCATGGACAATGGGTTTGCGGTGAAACTACATTGTCTGAGGTGAAACAATGACGTTTGGTAAAGGTTTGTGTTTGGCTGAGATGTATTTGGGGACCGTGAACCCAAGAAACAAACCTCAGCCAACTAACTAGCCTTCATTTATTCTTGATCTTCTTTATTTAGGTCTTTCTTCATCCAAGGGTCGCTAGGCCAGCGATTTTCCTATTTCTATCATACATTTGATGCATTTTTACCCCTTTTTCCCCCATGATATCATCGTACCGATTGATCGTGTTTCAGTCTCAACATGAAAGAAAATTTACAGTAACAGGGTTACCAGTTTCGTGTTTCTAGGCTACAAACACCATTTTCAGTCCATGAGTTTGTATCTTTTCTCTTGCACACCAGTAACTCCCATCTGTATCTCGATGATCGTGTGCAGTGGCATCTGAAACATCCAACAGTCATCAGCCCGGAAGGTTAAGACAGCTTAACAACAAACTATGCGAAAGCCACGTTGACTTTGATCAAAAGAACAAGAAATATTGTTCTCTGACTACTTATCGTATTCGATAAATTACCTCGATATGTGGAATTTCTTTCAAAGGCCTATCAGCAAAATAAGCATACAGAGCCCTCAATACCGCCTGCAAATATAACGAACCGAACTTTATTGTTCAAAACCTAGTCACCAAGACAAACTAGTGTCTGAAAGTTTCAGATGCATAACCTGGTGAGAGATGACCACAACAGGTGCCCTTTGTCTCTCGAGTTCAATGATCACTGGCTCCAGCCTGTGGTATAGTCAGAGTGGATGGTAATTTCAATGTTTTCAACCAAAAGTGAGTAAATAGTGCTCGGAAGTAACAACAGTCAGAACACAAACCTCTGAATGACGTCTAGATAGGATTCTCCACGCGGATACCTGTACCTCAGCTTATCATTCTTTCGGGACCTGATATATAGAGATTACATAATAAGAGAAGTCATAATGGGTAGGAAAGCCATAGGCATCCAGATCTTTCAAGTTAGAACGTTAGAGAATGTTGAATTAATGAACTTACTCATACTCCTCTGGCATGTTCCTCTTTATTTCCTCGTAGGTCATTCCATCACAAACTCCAGCATTTATCTCATCGAGTGCCCGCCATTGGATCTAGGTGAACAAAAAGTGAAATTATATGATTCTATGAAATTAGCATTAGAATACAATGCTGTTTGATTTTCTTGTATACCTTGGGAAAGTCAACAATTGGACCTGCTGTTTGGATTGTCCTCTGCAGTGTGCTAGTCCAAATCTAGATCACAGTTAAGCGTGCAAGTTAGCAATTAATCGTTAAATTTCTCAAATCTTTTTACATGTGACACGATGACATCATAGCAAATCATTCCACAATTCGGAGCACATTTCACCCAAAAATAGGTTAATGGTGATATCAGTAAGCTTACAGAAGCCGCTTTCTCAGATTTCAGTCGCTTCTCAACGAAGTTTGAAAGCTTCTTGGCATATATTTCTCCAGTATCACTGCAAGAGAGGAAGGTCAAGTAAATTCTGGTCACTAAGAACATCAATAGCTGAAGTATAATTTCCTCCAGGGATAGGGATGCATGGAACTGGGACAAAAGCTGAAAAGAGAAATCACAAATGAAGATAAAGAATGGACGAGATAGGATACCTCAATAAGGAATCACCTCCAATTCTGCCTCTAAGATTGTGTCGGCTTTCTCCATGCCTAGTAAGTAAGATTGGACGAGGCGTGAGATGTGTATTCACCTGTAAAAGATTATTTGAACCGAGACTGTAATATCCTTATGACAATAATACAGACAACACAATAATCATGTAGGATGAATATTTCTTAGCCATTATCATGCCTGATTAAGTAACATAGTAAGACAACTGCTCTCCATCTTCACAAAAGCATAACAACATACCAGGAAGAAAACAATGCGCCCAGGAAGGTAGCCACTTATATTGTTCACCTGGAACACAAGGCTGATGAGTGAATCTCAATCCATCAAAAAAGAAACCACAAAAGTTCTAAACACATTAGTTATGGCTGTGAATAGCTACTATCAAATGATGAAAAGAAGCGTGTGTCAACTTTAGCATACTAAATGCACAATCATCTAACAATTAAACACGAAATAAGAATGTTTAAGCAATTACTGCAACCTATATGTGGGAAATAATTATCAGAAGACGGCATGCAGAGACCATGAAGGCAGTAGACCTTTTGCGAAGTTGTGTTTCTCCTACACATTATTCAAGCAAATGATAGTCAAACTATAGCAAGTCCAATGAGCTGCCTCCAACGTCAAGATGGTCTGTTCTAGTCAATCTACATCTTGTGATTCTCAATTAAGTCTTCAATAGTTCTATTCATAAGCATTCAAGTATTGACCAAGGGAAATAAGTAAGATAAACCCGGAATAAGATCAGTTTGTCTTTGAAATCCATTTTGGGGAATGCCAAGGTGCACTAATTGTGCTTAACATCAACATAAAGATTGAAAATTTAGGGAAATGAGCAGCTTATGATTTTCCGGCCAGGAGATCTGGCAAATGAGTAAAGCATACCTGAATTTGCCCACCATTACCACTGACCATGTCTATCATTTTAATGTACGAGCCTTCTTCGACGGGTTCGTAGACCTACCAATGAAAAAAAACATTTATAATGACTTTTGTAGAAAAATCTAAACAGTAAGGCAGAAGTATGTGCAATTAGCAGCCAAAAACCACCTTTTCATAATTATCTAGCCGACTTTTGAAGTCTTCATATCCAGCTTCAAAATCAGGCCTGCCAAATCGTACCAGTTAGATTGTTTATTCTTGGCAGAGATATTATGCCAATAATTTCAGTTTCACGTACTGTTCAGCGTAATCCGGGCTTTGCTGGATTTTAAGACGAATGTTCCTCTCAATAATGCGTTTATCATTGCATAAAGTTTCCAAAAATATCATCTGCAGTGAGAGAAAAAAAAAACATGTAAGAAGATAATCAATTAATTTCAAGTAATTAGGATGTCCTGATGATCCAAACAATACCACTAAATAGTAATTAACGGTTACGACATGACAAGGAGAAATCATAAGCATGCTCATATGCATTTTTCTGTAACAATCCTAGCTTAATCATCATGTGATCATTTCATTCTACCTTGCAATTTCCTTCAGCCATTTTCATCAGCATATTCCTTCTTTCCCTGGTACTGTTTGTGGCATCAAATATTCCTACCTACAAGTGTGGGAAAAAGTGACCGATTATGACACAGTAAAAGCCAAAGAACTTATCTTATAATCTGAAACAAGTTAACATACCTGCCCACCCTCTTGCATCCAAGCAATCATGTCTTCCATTGCAAGTGATGCTACCTAGTGGCATGTGATACAATTAAACTATGTAGAAAGCAGACGGTTAATATGGTATTGCAACAGCCATTTCATTAAGGAAGAATAGAACTCAATAGTAAAACGCTTAGGTTGAATGGACAGCTGAAAAGCATTTTCATCCAAGCACTAACACTCTTCACTGTTTCAAGAATGCAAGAATCCTTTTCATAGCTCAAAATTGTGGGGATACCAAATGCACAGATAATGTTGATCAGTTAACCAGCTGAAACGGCCGAGTTTCATGCATATTTAGTTATGCTGAGTGCAAACTACTTCCATCATTCTAATGAACAGCAAGGAAGACTCAAATACTGAAACTGTCCATGTAAATTAGTCATCAATCGCTTGCATATAATTTGTCACTTCAGCAAGTCCAGCATATCGAGAAAGTAACCAAATATGATGTTTTGTTTACAGTCCTTGAAAAGTGAAGATTTGACCTACGTTGTGAACCTAGGGCGCGTTGTATTATACTTTGCTAAGCTCCAAGAATTACACGATCTTTTATTCTAGGCCGCAAGAAATCTATCTAGGAAAACTACAAACAAATAGGATTATAGACAGTTACCTCATTACGTGCTTCCACGCCTTCAGGATTATCGCCTCGGAAAAAATCAGCATTCTGCATCAGCAAAGAGCGTCGAAGAACATTTGATTACAATATCGGAATATTCCGGCAAAGGACGAAAAAAAGAACATCAGTAGCTGACTAAAAAATAAAATTTGTCCAAACATTGCCATTTTAATAAACTCTCCAACTACCTTACTAACCTAGATTTGTATATAAAACAAGCATTTTAGGTATCCAGCTGAACAAGCTGAAACATATACATGTCTTGAAGAGAAAAGCAAGAAGAGTCCTTTTACAGTAATAACCAAGCGCAGGCCACATGCAACGGCAACCCACATCAAGATACAAATGTCCAGATAAAAAGAAGCTAGCACAGACTGAGAGAACATGGATGTGCTAGTTGCTGATCTTGTGCCAAATCCTCATTAATTGAGACAAAGTACAAATACTTACATAACAAAAATAAAAAGAAGTTCAGATCACTTAGTTTTCAACCATTTTCATTTCTGTACAAAACGAAAACGCTGGAGAACGATTGAGCAGAGGACATAAATATACCTGGTTAGTGCCATGCTTAAGGCGTCGATACTGTCAAAACCAATCGAAAAATAAATATTTATGTTCAAATTAAAAGAAAGAAACGTATTGCTTAAATAAATAAAACCAACCTTCCCAACATTGAAATGTTTGGTGTTATGACCCAACCAGCGAAGATAGCGAGTGAGTTTAGCTGCAGTAAAGGTCTTTCCCCGAGCAGGAAGACCAACCTAAAGTAATGAAATTGTAGAGAATTCATCAGTAAGAATTCTCAATGATTATCTTAAGAACTAGCACATTTACGAGGCCGAACAAGATGTTTAGCAAAATTGAAAGACCTGTTTTAAGGTTCTTCATATGATAAAGACCTTGATGATCTTGTTCCCAAAACTAAAACCAAACTGGAAATGAGAGCATCTGGAAATCTATAGTTCTAAATAATGCTTATGTCAGTTAATACCAGTACTATCGCCAAATGTCTGTCTTCCTTCGGACCAAGCATCTGATCAGCTACAGCTCCAGCAGCAACAGCTCCAGCAGCTGCTGGCATCAAATTCTGACAGTATAAGGCACAAACTCAAAACCTGCCTAAAACTTTCGGCATTCTGGCCACTACAAAGAATGCATTGGTACTTGGTGCAAACCTTGGTCTCTGCCTCCTGTTTAAGATCAAATGTGAATGTATTTGAACTTGGTGATTTAAGCAGTCTAGGAGATCCAACACCCCTATCCACAAAAAGCCCCCTGTGACTATCTTGTCTTTGGAGAGGCAAAAAATACCCCAGCGACTTTGATTCGACGGTTCCAGTACCAGGATATACTTTGGAGGGATCTGGGATGACAATCTCAATGCCCTACAAAAGATTAGCCAAGCTTTTTATGTAAATAGCTAGAGAACAAGAATATGAGAGAGACAACAGAAACCCACAAAAGGCTTAGCAAGTCTCAATAGCGTGATACTCCCAATGAAGAGGCTTCACCAGTAGGCAGAAACCAGTACTAGTAAGAGAAGTGAGACACAAATGTATGAATTTCAAAGAGGGTTACGAACATTAACCTTAAAGGTGGGTGGCTGATCAGAAGGAATACTGGCATCCTTGAATGAATAGGAATTATACCATGCTGCATCCGTCATTGTAAACCTTGGATTCTCTGCATTGTTAGCGGCATACACCATTCCTGAGTTTGCAGAAGTTGATGGAGCCGGGACAAGATAGTGTTCAAGATCGAGCTCCAAACTGGCAGAAGATCCATTCTGGAGACAGATCCAATGACCTTTACTTAAGCTAATGTACGGAGTTAGTTAAGATCTTAACCAAATGCTAACAAGTTTTTTGCAATAAACAAATAATTCAAAACAACTTTTCAAGACTCAAATATTGCAGAAGAGTGGTATGTCCTAAAGTGCCACACCGTAGCCTGATGGACCAAATTCTTATATAGAGGAAGTTCCAAAGAACTGGTAAATGAAGAAGGTCCAAAACAATTACCTAGGGTCTGTCAGTTACTAAATTTAGGCACATTCAAGTGGGGCTCGGGGAAACATAAACATGCTTTTGTCAAAGTGACACAATTCATTGCATGTTCTCAAATGAATCTCATCCACTAAGTTCCTTTTTTTTTCATTTGGACGGAGTGAAGATAATAGAAAGTAGACAAACACACTAGCTTTTACTAAGGAGGAGTTATCAGTTTCCAAAGTAAGCACACCTCAGCTCCAGCCATTGGTGCAGAATTGATACTAACATCAGGGATCCCACGAACAGATGAAGGCCGAAGGTTCTCCTGGTAAGCCCTCCAACTGGCCGCAAGATCAAATGGAGAAACTTGATCAGCCTTTATGAAGACTCTATATTCCAAAGTTTCCTCACCGTTCCTAAACACAGCCAGCCTTGATTCTCCTTGCAATGCACCCCTGGAGAGAACCCGGTTTGGCCCCTCCTCGATCACACAAGGAGTGCTGCCGTACTTTGGCTTCAGAAGGAACTTAAAATCCAAAGTTTCTGCATTGAACACAGAGTACAACATACACAAGTCACTAAACACGATACCAAAGGACTACAAAGGTTCAAACAGAAGAAGAAAAAAGGACTACAAGGGGATATTTGCTAGCTATAAAGGGGGGATACTCTGGAAAGGCTGTCCCAACTAAGATTCTGCTATTTCAAATTCAATTACACTAATAGGAGTACCATTATAGTGTGAACCATGCAAAAGCAAAAGGAAGCTTTAGGATCAACTTCACTCCCATTTCATGCAATTTCTCAGGCCACCAAACAGCAAAGCTTAAAAAAGAAGTCAACTACGTTCGAACTTTTTGTCAACTGATTCAACTCAAAGCAATAGAAAGAAAAGGTATCTCCTGTAATCTCTAACTATGCTGAGTTCAATCAAGCTAAGAACTAGTCGACATCCTTACTTCCTTACCGCTCCTTGCTCTCGCCCTCACGTCACGACCTAATGTCAGATCTTTCAGTCCTTTTCGAGCTAGCATAGCTACTGATATGGAATAGCTAACAACAGAAAAGTAAGAAAGGAGGAGAAGGAGAAGAAGAAGAAAAACAAGAGCTACTTTCAGCTTCCATACCATGATTAGGAGGAACAACAAAACTCAATTCCCACATTGACGCCGATTCCCGCTCCATTGACAGCTGCAAAGCACAACACACACACACACAAATGAACAACCTCCTAGCCAATTGCAACAAAATGATCCACGGTCCACAAAGCTACTCACAGCCTTGAAAGGATCCCAGGAGCCAACGAGAGGGACAGAGCCGTAGACGTGAGGAATAATCTCGCCATTAAGCTTGTAATTCTCCATCTTCAGCGACACATACAGCTGCCCGCCGGCCTGGTCCAGACTTCCGTCTCGGCCGTCGCTCTCATCGTGAGACACGCCGTCGGCATCCTTGGACGTCCCCGTCCCCATTTGTCAAACCTGTGCGCGTTCAAGTTCGCCACCTAGCTTCACAGCATTACCGGAGCCGTTGCAGAGAAAGCAGGTGACGATGTTCTAAAATGGATAAGGACGAAAAAAGGGAGTGGGACCTAAGAAGTTGCCAATTTCGATGATAAGGTAAGGGAAATCTACACATAATATAATACACAGAAGGGAAAAACGGGATTGGGATTTGAACCATAACCATTTTAAAGAAAGACAAAGATCATAACCAATCACACTAAATACATTTGTTATATCTTTTTAAATTAAAAACATATAATAGCAGGGTGGGAAAAACTCTTCCCCTATTTCAAATTTCCTATTCCAGGAGCGTTTGTAGGAATGGTGGAATAGGGAGTGTCAATTTTTTTCTCTTTCCTCTGTGGAACGGGCCAACTTACCGTACACATGCGGATTTAAACGGGTCCAGGAGTGTCAATTTTTTCTTTATACCCTTTTATTTCTCCGTGGTGATAAAATATATATGAAAAGGCAAAAATAATACTCCTTTTTATTATTAAAAATAAAAAATTTAACAATAAACTAATGCATGGTATCTAATGGGCTAACTGCTAACCATAAAACAAAAGAGTTGAATGAGCCTGACCTACATGGGATTTGGTCATCAAGTAAAACAAATGAACATCATTGGTTTGTCATTCTAAAACAAGCTATTTTCTCTGACATAATATATATTATGCTATTATTTTATATCTTAGTGGCTAAAATATAGAGCACTTCTACTATGCTATATAGTATTGGTGCTTTAATGTACAACTTAAAGTTGTACCATAACATTAAATGTATAAGTTTAGGTTGTACCATAAAGCAATTTGTACCATTATGTTATGGTACAACTTTACATAAGTTGTACCATCACATAAAGGTACAAGTTCAAGTTGTACCATAAAAGAATTTGTATAAAAAGTATAGGTACAATATGAAGTTGTACCATAACGTAAATGTACAATTTTAAGTTGTACCATAAAGGCAAAATCCTATAGCACCAATACTATATAGCATTGTAAAATTTCTCTAAAATATAATGTATTTTAAAGTTATTCAATGGTTCAACCTCGACCAACCCAATTAGTCCAATTTTTATCATTTCAAATATATATTTTATAATTATTTGACATCATAATGATCAAATTATAGTGTATTTTATAGGGAATCGTTTGATATTTGTTAGTAAAAAACTAAACATAAAGATCTATTTGGTTATTTTAAACATTAAAACGATCCTAAACATTTTCAGTTCCTTTTGAATTTATATGGTTTTATTCCCAAATAAGTGATGTGCAAATGGCGAATTGTAGTCGTCTTTTTTCTTTCACTATTTTTTATTTTCAAATAGAAAGTTTAAAAGTAAAGAATAATTAGAATTTGGCATGGGTCGGTCAAACAGGTTGAATTTCAAGTTTTGGCCTGTTTGTTTTATGCATTGCAAATTTATTAGCATGTTGATGGAAATGGCTTGGAAAAAAGACATATAAGTTGTACCTTTGCAGAAATGTCCTCAAATGTTTGAATGCTTTGTGAATCAGATTCTGTGACTTTTGTGATGGTGTATGTGCTTGACGATTGCTCGATGTTGTAACTACTTAATTTGAGTAAATCTTTTTATTTTCCCTATGAGTTGTGATACCAGTTCTGGTGGTTGCAGCATGTTGTCGTTGTTGGCCTGTAAAAGTTGTTCCGTCGTGATGCTAAATACCTTTCCTTCTTTTTTAACAAATTGTGTAGTAGTGCTATGAAACAGACCACCCATGAACGCTACGCTTATTATGGTCTGTTCTTACTTCCGGTGGTGAGAAATTGTGAATTGAGAATCATATTCGCCTACCGCACTGTGTCTGGTTGGTGGCTGCTTACTATGCTCTCTAGAGTTATGAAACAGACTACCCATGAACGTTACCCTTAAGAGTCCATAACTTTGCGAAAAACCAAATTTAGGCAATCAAAGGTGGTGGATGTTTGATGATTTTTTATGGCTTAATTGTTTGTGAATTGGATATCTGATCTTTGTATGATTAGAGGGGATGTTTGCTTAATAGAATAATCCATTTTAATTCATATTTTTTTTAACATGAACTTTAGTAACTCAAAACCTTCGAGACACATATCACCTACTGCATTGTATCATTTTGCCTGGGTGCTTGCTGTGTTGTCAAACTTCTTTGCTGCTGCTGCATTTACACTAACAGGGGAGTTAAGAACCCATGAATGTTTCCGTTTTACACAAACAAGAGGACTTACTTCTAAATCGTGCACTAAAGATGATTGGAGGAAACATCTCTGTTGCAGTTGATACACTGGAGACCAGAACAAAAGCAACGTATAACATCAAAACCAACCATCTGAACTATTAGCATTGTTGCTTTACTCTTTTTTCGTGGTTGAGTATCCTTCAAAAAATTTAGTTTGATTTTAGAAAATTTTGCTTCTGCAGTCCTGTCTTGCCACCAACGCATTCAATAGATGGAGATGGTAGAGGCGAAGGCTATTTTTGTGTTGTTGTTGCTGGTTTAGGGATCGGTTTGTGAAGAAGAGGGAGAAGAGAGGGGGAAAGGGAAATGCATGAGAGGGGGATAACTCTTTTCTCCGACAAAAATGGAGTGAAGAAAGGAATTATGATCAGTAAGGATATGGTTATCTTACATAACTGTGTCTATTCTGTTTGAATTGAGCTTGGGAGGTAGTGATAAGGACGAGCTGCAACCAATTCATAGTGATAGGAGTGCTATGAACTGTGATCATGTATTATTTCAAGTTAGAAGGTAGTTTCAGTATAAGGATTATTTAATTTGACAAGTTGTTTCGTCCATGATTTTTGGTAGTTTCAGTGCCATTCTAGCCATTGTTTAGTCTGTAATTTTTTAGAATTGATGTGCGAGTAATGACTTTCACTTAGCTTCAACTATTATGTGTGTATTTATTGGCATGTGATAGAATTCTCTTTTCCTTTTCTTTGATATCAGTTTCATACTCTAATTGTATCATTTGTACATAGGCAAATCATGCTCGAGATGACAACTCGCCGATATGGCTGGTGCAAGGAATGAAGCCATCATTAAAATTCAGACCAAAAACGGGGAGGGATGCCTAGGACTAACTCAACGATGATTGATGATGGTATGATAAAAACTGCAGTCTGCATCAGCACCAATTTCTAGGACTAAGTAAAGTTATTCAACCCAGAACTCTGCTTAGCGCTAAAAATTGCCCTCACCCAACATTGATCCTGTTTGACCCACTTCTGAAGAGTCAAGATATATTACTAATTCTCTCTGTTCGTATTTTCTTATTGACTCTTTCTGACCCTTTAGGTTGGGGCGGGTCGGGAAGAATCAGATTAGTGGGTCGGTCCTAATCAAGTGGAATCACAATCCCTTCACTCTCACTTGCTTTCTCTCCCATTCCACAAGTGGGTAACATACAGTAATCCGGCCAACGGATCGGGTAATAAGCTAGTTCTTTATGGGGTGGTTTGGATGAGGAATTTGTGTATCGAGGGCTTTGAGTCTAATTCCCTCAATCAAAAACCCAGAAAATTTAAAACGAAGGATTTAGCTAAATAACTTGTTTGTTTGAGAATGTGGGTTTTTAATAAGAAAAATGAAATTATAGCTTTGCCCATGTTTCTTTGTCTTCCTCGTCCCTTAGCTTCCTCCACCGGTTTGCGCCTCTGCTTCGCCACCAAATTCGATCTCCTCAAAACCCCAGGCGAGCATCGTCCAAACTCACAGCAGCTTGTTGTTTGTACTCGTCCGGAATTCGTTAATCCGACCTCTCCTCAATCAATCCCGACTATCAATTCGCGAACCTAAAACCCTGCAACCCAAATCGATAAACAAGAACTCAAAATCCTACAAACCAAATCGACGAAACAAGAACCCAGAACTCCATAATTGATTCATCCCACTTCGTGCTCTTCTCTCTCACATCAGTCAGACCCCTTCGTCACCTCCTAACCCGTCACCACCACCACCGTCTCCTCCAACCATTATCTCCTCCACTTAGATCCGATTGATTGCATCGAAAATAGAGGAATGAATGATTTTGGCGGTGGAGCATAGAATAAGAAGTGGAAGCAACGCCGCCACTCCAAGTCAAAATCCATAGTCGGCGCCGAACGACAAATCTCCTCACCCAGAAATCGCAAACGGACGAAAAAATACCACCGGCCTTTTTCCCAAATGAGGAAGGTTTCGAGTTGAAAGGGGTGGAGGATATGGGAAGCAACAATAGTATGGGAGGTCGGCGGGACTGGGTTTGGCGATTGGGAAGAAACAGAGTGGGGAGAGATGGTAGAAGGAAAGAGTTGGGTTGGGGAGAGGGATAGTTATGGAAAAGATAAAAAATAATGAGGGATTGTGAAATAGCTGGTGGCCGTCAGTTATTTCAAAAACCCACATTTGAGGGTTTTTAAAATTCTTAATTGTAAAAATTTTCATCTATCCAAACGTACGATCGTTTTAAAATCTTCCACAACGAGGGATTGTTTTAAAATTCCTCACAAATCTCTTGTTACATTCCTTTATCCAAACGACCCCTATGTTTCTGGTATGGGCGTTTTCGAGCATGCGCTTGCCTGAGAAGAAGGTTGGTCTGTGGACTGTGGCTGGATGTCGATGGCTAGTTTAACAGGTGCGCGGCGATGGTTCAATGTAATTCTGAAACGGATATTTTGATATGGTTTGACTTGGGTTGAACTCCAAGTATTTTATTTGTGTTTGGTGGAATTTCAATCATCATGGATATTTGTTCGATTCTAATTTGATTGGGATAGAGATAAAATTCCAACTAAATTAAATTGTCTACAAATATAGATAAACTCTTGTCTACAAATATAGATAAACTCAAATCTAAATACTACAAGTAACGGAGGGGAATTATTTTAATATTATTAATGTTTCACTCACCATATTTCAACATTTTATTGTATACATGTCTGGTGGGACGCTTGAAGTCCGGTACTTTCAGGTTCGTGGAACAACGGGTACATAGTTAGCTCCAGCAGAGGAGCATCGATGCATATACTAGGAGGCTAAGGAGGTCTTTAACAAATGCATTATTGATCCATGTTTATTGCTCCCAATTTTATTGTGTTGCACGCTTGATAGGCGTATAGCTCAATTTTGGTAGAGTATGTAGCAGGTGGAAAGCATTGTACATTGAGTGGTGTGAAAATCTCTTTGACTAAGTAAGAGTGAGGGAGGGATGGGTTTCGCCGATTTGAGGAAGCTCTCTTGGCAAAAGTGGTCTTGCGCGTTTGGAAGAGACAAGACCATCTTGTTGCACGCTTGCTGAAGAATTTTTTTTCCTAAACTCAACTTTGTTAGAGGCAAGACTCGACTCTTTGTCATCGTGGAGTTGGCGAGGTATTTTACATACATGGCGGGAGAGCTATTGCAATAGGGGCTTTGTGGGCAGGTAGGTTTCGGTGCAATGGTGGAGGTGTTGACGAAATTGGGTTCCATCTCTTCATCTTCATCCTTCGTGACCATAGTCAAAGATTGTAGGGGTGCAAGGGTTGATAACATCTTTGATCCATCCGCATCAAGGTGTATGGCATGTGGATTGTCTGCGATGAGGAGGATACACTACGTCCAATGTTGGTATTCACCTGTTAGTTTATTCTATCGAGTTTGGTTATCACTTTGCGGTATAATTGTGAATACAAAGGGAGTTAGTGGTAAATTTTGGGGTTGCTACTTGGGTTCGTGGTATGCCTTTAAAAATTCGGGTTGCTCCAATACCCCAAAAAATGTGGTATTTAATATTGCAGTTGGTGCAATGTGTCTTTCCAATGAGCGAGACATTGAGCTTCATGGGGTGGTTGGGTGGGGTGTTGCCCAATTTCTAAAGAGGAGGTGGAGTTATTAGAACACCTCTTCTTCCACTATCAATTGGCACTAGGTCTTTGGGAGGGGGCGAACTTGTGCAACTCCAAGAGAACTTTCCTAAACTCATATGGGTACGTCTTTGCGTCATTTTCTTGAGCAGGGGAGATGGATTGAGGGCGTGTGATATGGGTTGTGTCGGTATTTTGGTACATTTAGCATGATCGTAGTTGGGTGATCTTTGATTTTATTCAGATCACAGTTCTTATTCTTCTCTTTTGTTTCGTTTGCAGATTATTTAGTAGGAAGTTCTATCGACCGAGAATTTGGGGAGGGCCTGTCATTCGGGGGGCTTTGGGGACTACCAGGGGTGTGGGCTTGTCTCCTATCCTAGGACAGTGGATGGTATTGGTGGATAGTGTGTCAATTTGTGGGGTTCCATGAGGTTGGGGGTTGATTTTTACACGATCCATTTGGCGCGGTTGTAGTTGTAGGCAGAAAGTTATATGAGGTCATTTCTTATCCATGCCTACTGGATTTGACGGCTTTTTATGATACTATCTTATGGTGTACGTCTCAGGGATTGACATTGATGAGCTTTGTTGGCGATGCGAAGGTGGTCATTGACAAGATCATGGTGGTACATCTGGCAGACATTCAGGATGAGAGGGTGATTGAGGATATCTTGGGCCTTCGTGAATGAGTTTGTTCACTTTAGTGTTCAGTTTTTCGGACATAGTAGTACTAAGGTTGCCTATTTGGTGGCGTGAAAGGCCTTTTCATTGTTCCCTTCTTTAATTGGGCATCATTTTGTTTCTTTGGTGTTCTCAATCACGTTACATGTTGGTATATAGTTCTTTTCCTTGATGATGCAAACGATCTTTTGTATAAAAAAGTAGATAGCAAACTTAAGAATTATAGATCTTTTTATTATTTCTCCTGGTTTTATGATTTCTTATTGTTCTTTTTATTTGTGTTATGTCTACATACTCCTAAATAATAATATACTAGTTGAGATAATATATAAAAAACCTATTATCTATGGGTATCCATGGTTATTCAAACCAAAATGATTATCGATATGATTATTATTTAGTGCATGCACTTTTATGGGTATGGGTATAGGTATACATGAGGCACAAACTAATCAGGACAGGGTAATAGATACCAACTATTCATTCATGTTCTCACTTGTTGTCATCTCTATTTTTGATCAATCACATTATATTGTCTAACAATTTCACCAAATTGTCAATCAAGTCATCCAGAAAGATTGGTCTGGTTTACCATATGATCAATTAGGTTGACCAGTTTTGTTTCTGTGAAAATGTTGATGGTTAATTCTCTAAAGGTTTGCCATTTTTTTAGAGAATAGCAAAAAAAAAATCTGAATTTAAAATCAAGACCCAAATTTTCATAAATACTCCATGTGAGCTATGAATGGATACCTTTTTATATGTTACTGAGTGTAAGGGCTAGGGATAGGGTCATAAATAGTTCATGTCATCCCAACTACTTTTTATCTCTTGCTTGGAGTCTACATGTTGTTGCCAAAGGCATTCAAATTTGAAGCTCCAACCTCATTTCATTCCTTCATTGACCAAGGTAGTCTGTAGCAATATAGGAGAGTGGTCTGAACTGCATCTTTTCAGATGATAGACTCTAGCATGAGGGTAGTTAAGTAGCCACGATTCAGTAGCTACCATGATATCCAATCTTTCTTCTATATATGTATCATCGCCATGGTTCTTTATCCTAGGTAAAAGGTTTACCATAATTATCAAGGTCCTCTAAGTTGCAATCCTCTAGAGCTTCATTGAACATTTCCCTTTCTGCCACTTTCGGGGATCTTAAATCGTTCTTTTCTTCATAACTTCGAAGTTGAAATCCCCACACACCAGCCATGGTAGATTCATTTGGTCTCTCGGACTTCTAAGAAAATCACATGCTTCCTTTTTACTGTCTTGCTCAGGTCATCCATAGATGCATGTCAGACGCCACTTAAATCCTCAATCCTCCACACACATATCAATGTGGTGTAGTGATATCTCTTTACTTCTAACTTTATATTGTTTTTCCACAATACTAGTAATCCTTCAGCTGTTCTAACAAAGCCAACCCCTCTTCCTTTATCTAGGATGAGAGATTGATAGTGAGACAACTAAACGACCAAAACAAACATTATATACCCAATTGAATTCATAAATTTATACCCAGTTTATTGGGAAACGACGCATCAAGAGAATAATTGTCCATACTCTTTATCCAGCTGGTTAAAAAATTGATACATGAAGCGAAAAATTGTTCATACAAATTTAATAAAATTCACGAGCTTTTGAGGCTTTCTTTTCAACAAATTCTTTTGAAATAGTTATATTGTTTTCTTTACCCACCATTCTAATGTAACAAAAATTATAACAAAAAAAAAAAACACAAAAATAGAGAAATTTTCAAAAGAAACAAATAGAAACCTAATGCTAGTTGCCAGCATATTTTTTCTTCTAGTAAAATACTTATTTTCAAAACATATAAAATATTTAGAAAAAGGGAGGAGAAAGAAGGGGAAGAAGAAAAAGAAAAGAAAGAAGTGTGATCGTAAGGAGCGCATGAGATGATGATATGTGCTCCATCACGGTTCGCTTCTTTCCTTTTCTTCTTCATCCTCTTTTCCTTTTTCATTCAAAATGTATGTCTTGCTAAGCCAATGAATGTGATCGACAAATGTTGGAGACAAGATACCAATTGGCGCAATCATCGACAACGTTTAGCCAGATGCTCCGTCGGATTTGCCGGAAAAATGACTAATAATATTGGAAAAGGAACTATCCGATATATAGTTACCGACCCAAGCGACGATCCTTTGAGTCCTAAACCCGGAACCCTAAGGTATGGAACATTAATAGAAGGAAAAACATGGATCACATTTAGAAAGAACATGAAGATCAAACTTCAGAAAGTCCTTCTAATAAGTAGCTACAGTACCCTCGATGGTCGTGGCGTTGATCTTCACATCGAGGGCAATGCATGTCTTGTAATCTATAAGGTACATTTTCAATGTTAAAATCATATGCACACAATTTTAAAATTATTCAATCCTCGCATTTATCATTTTATATTTGTAAGTTAATCTAAGTTGAACTGGTATTGTTTATCAGGCTAGCAACGTGATAATACATGGGATTCAAATTCACCATTGCAAGGCTCAGAGCCCAGGCTTGGTGATGGGGCCAGGAGGGAAGATCATGCCACTAGGCCCAATGGATGGGGATGCCATCGGAGTGGTGGATGCATCAAATGTTTGGATTGACCACAATACCCTCTACTCTTGTGATGACGGTCTTCTGGATGTCACCGCCGGTTCTACAAACGTGACAATCTCCAACAACTGGTTCAAGAACCAAGAGGGAGTCATGCTCCTCGGCCACGACGACAGTTACTTACGAGATCAAAGAATGAAAGTCACCATTGTTTTGAACCGTTTCGGACCCAACTGCAACCAGCGTATGCCTAGGTAAGCGCCTCATCGTAAAATTGTGCTTCGAGGTTGGGTGGGGTGCATTCAGGCTCGACGGCCGATGCGAGCCCTGCTATTAGATTGTGTGAAATTTTTTTAGTGACAAAGTTAGAAAATGCTATTTGAACAACTTAAATTGTGTCATCATGTGTAATAATCATCATTTGATTACTATTAGACTCATTTATTAATTAATCTCTTAAGTTGTTGTTTATTCATGTGACAGGGTAAGGTATGGATATGCACACGTAGTCAACAACTTGTACCAAGGGTGGAAGCAATATGCAATTGGTGGAAGCATGCACCCCATCATCAAGAGCGAATCTAATGACTTTATTGCTCCCCAATCAGGAAACAAAGAGGTAGCGAACGATCAAGAAATGCCTTTGATTTATCAACAAGATACTTATATATCATGGGGAGTGGATCAGGTTCAAATTCTTGATCTGCATAACCCTATAAAACCTTCCCATCTTATTATTATAATAAGGCATCGTATTGCCAGAGTAACAAATCGTACCACCATCATACTATATGGCACCTCCATGGTAAAACGAGATTATGTAGTACTATACATAACCAAAGGTTTTGCATCAAAACTCAAGCCTATATCATGTCTAATAATTTTAATGGACTTTACATTTGTAGGTAACTTGGAGAAAAGGTGTTGACCGTAACAGCAAGCCATGGACTTTCTACTCTGTAAATGATTTCTTCGAAAATGGAGCTTATTTCAAGTCAACAGGAAAAAATGGATTCATACCTAGTTACAATAATGAACAGAAGTTCCATATTGCTAAGGCCAAAACCGTAAAAATCTTAACATCTTCAGCCGGAGCTCTGAAGTGCTCAAAGGCATTGACATGTTGAAAATTTTAGGCAACAAAATACATTTGTATAGCCATCATTTGACGCTTTTTCTGTAGCCACTTTTTTATAATGACCATCTAGGCAAATTTAGAATGCTTGTTTATATCCATTTTGCGTTTAGAAATTTTAATTGTGTCAAAAATCTCAGTAACGTAATTAACGATAAACTAAGGTGAATGTATAGTTGTATAAATGTTACTCCCACATCAACTCTAACACTGTGTTTTTTTTTTACAAAAGATAATCATATATATTGATTGGAAAAATAGGTAGTTACGTTGTGGAATTAAGCTAGGCCAGAAAATTAAAGGAATGACTCGTAGTCGGGTACAATGAAAGGGCCTTTCGAGCCACCAAATGGGCTACCCTATTGCTATGCCGACCTACAAACTGAACACTAAGGCCACCATGAATCGCAAAATAATGCATGACCTCTTCGAGAATGGCCCCCATCCGATTATCCTGGGTATAAGCCTGATGGATCTTCTCAATGATCACTTTGGCATCACCTTCAAATCTCGTCTCCATAAATCCCAGGCTTAGACACTAGAGAATATCCTCCCGGAGAGCAAGAAGCTCGACCACCATGGGATCATCAATCTCCGAAAACTGTACCCCCTTTTGCCAAGAGGACCGACCCATCTTGAATTTGAAGAATCATCCCACCTGCTGAATGAGACCCTCACTTAGTCGCCCCATCCCACATACAGACAACCACATTCAAATGCACCACATCCAATGGGTGTGAAAATGGGATGGAGGAATGGAAACCACGATCAATAGGCAAACTAACCCACTCCTCGTACTGCTGATTGAATTATCGCATTAGAGTTGGGATCCCAAATTGTTTTCCCTCGAAGACAACCCAGTTTCGTGACCTCCAAATCCTCCATAAGAGCGCAACAACTGCCATGAATAGTTGAGGTTGACTTAAGAGTAACATGAACTTCTTCAGGAAGAGGGGGAAGTGTGGCGAGCGCAAAAACTAGCCACTAGGCAATCAAGAAACAAATGTACCATTGTTTTCGATTATGCCCAATAAACCAAACACCTGGGAAGCACGTCAACATCTTTCTCAATCAGGGCCTCCGTTGTTGGCAGGATTCGGTTGAAGATCTGCAATACAAACACTTTCAACTTAGGCGGAATATTAGCTCCCCACAATCGAATCCAGCTGGATCTGTCCATCCAACTAGCCATGGATCTCCATCGACCACTCTGCTTATCTAATAAAACAGCAAAATTATAGGCCGATTAACAGAGAAAACCCCGTCATACGTGTCATGTCATATCAATTTATCCTCAACCTCTTGACGAGGAAGAGGAATAGCTTTGATGTCACGACACGTTGCCGGGTCAAACCACTGGCTACGCTTCAAATCACACCAACGCCCCTCCCCTTGGAAAAGGACCTCCGCCACTAGCAGATCCCCTCCCTCAACAAGCACTTGGGGTTTATACATGGGAGGGATAGAGATGTAAACGAGGAATCCAATTGGAATGAATTAGTGAAGTTGTCTTGCCATTTCCAATCTGCCACGGTAGTCCCATCACCAACAACTGTCAGCCATAGAGAATACTCTATCATCCCCAAGAAGGGCGAGAACGAGCAGTAGCCGTGAGGAAAGTCCTAATCGGTAAATATTTTCTTTTGTAAACCTGGGTAAGAGGGAGTGGGGCTCGTTGAGGATATGCCAACCAATCTTAGCTAAAAGCTCCTGATTAAAATGTTCAAAGCGGCGAAACCCCATACCTCCATCATGCTTACTCCGACACATGTTTTGTCAGGATATCCATCAAATCCTAGATTGGCCCTCTTCGATACCCCATCAGAATTTGGCCACATGTTTTTCCAAGAGACGACAAAGGGAGGGAGGTAGCTTGAAATAGGACATGACATGCAGTGGAAGAGCTAAAGCGACCGATTTGATCAAGATCTCCTTTGATGCCCAAGACAATGTCCGTTGTTTCCACCCCTGAAGGCGTTCCATAAATTTCTCCTCCAATTACCAGAATGTAGCCATCTCAGATTGGGCTATCAAAGTAGGCAACCCCAGATATTTATCTTGGACTCCTACATCCCCTACACCCAGAATCTGGGCTAAGAAATCTTGGTCCGGCAACAATATGTTCTTACTAAAATAAACTGTCGATTTAGCCACGTTAACCCTTTGGCCACTCAGGTCCTCGTATTCATTCAATACCGCGATCAAATTCTCACACTCCTGAAGATATACTCTCAGGAATAAATAATAGTCATCTGAAAAAAACATATGTGAGATCCGGGGAGCTCTTGGGGCAACTTTAACCCCATCAAGTCTCCCTCAGAAATGGCTTTCTGAAATAACGCTGTAAATCCCTCCGTGCAAATCACAAACTGGAGCGGAGATAGCGGATCCCCCTATCAGAGACCCCCTATTGAATCCAGATGGAGTGTCATTCATAAAGACCGAAAACATAGTTGAACAGAGGCACTCCTGTATCCAGCCTCTCCCGGTAGAGTTAAAACCCATATTTTCCAAACAACAAGAAGAAACGGCCATTCGACTCTATCATAGGCCTTTTCCATGTCAACCTTCAGAGCCATGTACCCTTTCTTGCCTTGTGTTTTAATTTTCAGGCAATGCATTAACTCATAACCTAAGAGAACATTTTCAACTATCTGCCGCTCACGGATGGATGTGTTTTGTCCCTCCGAGAAGATCTGTGGTAGCAGTCCATCCTTTCAGCCATGATTTTCGTTATAACCTTATAAACAATTTAGCAAAGGCTAATTGGTATGGTTTGCCTTATGGTCTCCACATTGTCCACCTTAGGGATCAGTGTTAGCCAGGTATGATTAAAACTACAAAGCATCTTGCTTGTAGTAAAGAACGAGCATACAAATTTAATAACAGAATCACCGACAATATCCCAAAATGCTCTAAAAACTTTTCCGTGAAGCCATCAGACCCCAGAGCCTGTTTCGACCCCATGGAGAAGACTGTTTTCCGAACTTCACAAGGACGGACTTCCACCGTAAGATTGGCATTCATTTCCGCTGTAACTAGATGGGCTATGGGAAAATAGGCCACACGCTCTGCCATGTTAATCACCTGGTTCTTCGAGGTAAAGAGAGTCTGGTAAAAATTTGTGGCCATATCCGCTTTTTCTCTCCTCTCCGTTATCCATTTCCATTATCATTGCGCAAACTAGAAACAAAATTCCGTTTACGTCGGGCTCTAGCTACCATATGAAAATACGATGTACTCTTATCACCCTTCTTGAGCCAATTAACTCTGGACTTTTGCAGCCAGTAAATCTCCTCCGCCTACCATTTGTCTATTCAATAACCTCCAAACCCCTAATCTCATCCCAATTAATTGGGTGGACTAGTTTAATATGATCAATTTCTGCTTGGAGGGTTTTAATGTTACGAAGAGATTTGTGGTACCCGCCCTGCTCCAATCATAAAGCAAGTGACAGAGTTTCTTAAGTCTCTCCCAAAGTCGGTACATAAGAGTACCTTGAATATCTTGTTGCCAGACATACGTCACTATAGCTTCTTTAACCTCCGGATTCTCAGCCCAACGGTGATCAAAACGGAAGAGGGGACGACAATTCCGGACAAAGGGCTTATCAGAAAGGAGCAGGGCTCGATGATCATAACCCTGGTAAGTGAAATGTTTGACTAGGGTGTTCGAGAAGAGATCAATCCATTATTGAGAGCATAGGGCTCAATCCAGCCTTTCACGGATACAAGCAGACCCCATACGTTTATTTTTCCAGGTGAAAGGATCGCCTTGGAAGCCCGGATCATGGAGACCAAGGTCTTGAATAAAATTACGGAGGTCCAAGGAGTGGACAACATTCCAAGGATTCCCTCCATCTTTTTCAGTCTTGTGCAATGTTACATTGAAATCACCTATGACCACATATGGTAACTAGTTTTCTTCACGAATTTCACAAAGTTGAGCCAATTGAGTGGCTCTTATTAGCTCAGTGCAGTTAATATAAACAAAAACTACAACATACGAAAAATCCACTTCATTAATCTGAATACAAATAGCGAAGTTGGAATGAAAAAACACCAAAGCATCTACTTCGGGAGACCACGCTACTACTAGACCACCCGATGCAGCAACGCATCTTCAAAGAAAAAATGGGAAGAATCAAAACCTAAGGCCCGCATTCTACGAGAAACTACTCTCTGGCGTGATCTTGTTTCTGAAAAGAAGACAAGGTCCGGTTTATTGGAATGAACTAAACCTATAGCAGTTTGGAATGTGAATGATGGTCAATTACTCTCACATTCTAGGCAAGAAGCCTCATTTATCTGTTTGGGGCCACTTCAGGCTGGCTTCCTCCACCTTTTCCGGCTCATCTTTTTCTTCCACTAATTGTTTCTTTGGGGTGGGGTTGTCTTTAAACTCCCCATCTACAAGATTCTTTCCCGCCATCACTGGATCGCCAATGTTTGACTCGTATTCATCCAGGTTAAGGAACCTGTTACCCGCCTCTTCTTTTGGCGAGCCAGAGTAATCATGTTTCTTCTCATTTCTTGACTCAAAAGCCTCGATCACCTTACGGACTTGGCCCAATTTTGTCTGTTGGGGAATAGCCTGTTGAGAAACCGGGGCGCGACTCCGTAATTCGAACTACACCATATTAACTAAAAATACTTATTGATTAAAAAAGTTAAATAAATGATTACCTATAATTTAATAACCACCACTACCATTCCCAAATTTAGTTCTTGTTCCATTCCCCTAATACAATGCTCAATCTCAATTTGTAGATTTTTTTTCAATTCTCTTCAACGTCATGCGCACCTTTTCGCAATAGTTGTTGAGACCCCAAACTATAGATTCGCAATGCAGTCAAAATTGCGCTTTGAAACTTAAAAGGTTACGCGTTTACACTTTTAGTTAGAATCTCATTTCTCACTTACAATTGTAGTCAAAATCTACACTTTAAAGTTTAAAATCTTACGTTTTTACGCTTTCAAATCACCAAAGCACTTCTACATAGAATCGTGAATTTGGTTGCATTGTAGGTACGTGACCAGAATCTCTCACCGCCGCAATTTTCTTACTGGTTTACACCGGCAACACCGAACCCTTCATCTTCTCACCGCAACATGAATAGAGTGCTTAATCCTCTACTTCCTCATCCTCCTTTCAACCGTCGGCTGATTTTCGT